GTCGATTCATTTTTAATGAGAGGTACAACTGCAAGCCAAGTGGATGTTGCCTCTTCTGGGCAAGGACACCCTCCCCCTTCAGGCCACCGAGACGGAAAGCCACAGCGTCTGAAGGCTGCTTAGTGACTCCGGAAGGCAAACCCGGGGATCCAGCCAGTGGTTGCAATGTTGAAGAGCATCAGAGGCTGACAGCCTGCTGAGCTGGCCCCAGAGGGGGCCAGGCAAGCATGCTGGGCCTCACTGGGCCCCTCTCTTCCAGACAGGGCTGGCGCAGGCACTGTCAGAATTTACCTCTCTGGCTGACCTTTCCCTTTTCTAATCCTGTGCATTTGGGTTTTCATATGTTAGTGTCATCAGTTAGGCTTTGCTGGCCTCTGTCTCCCTCTATCCATCTGTTCTGGGTGGGCACTTCTTTTTTTTTGTTTTTTTTCTGGCCGCACCATGCAGCATGTGGGATCTGAGTTCCCCGACCAGGGATTCAACCCGTGCCCCCTGCGGTGGAAGCATGGAGTCTTGCCACTGGACCACCAAGGAAGTCCCTGGGTGGCCACTTCTAAACTCCTGCTTCGCAGACCACTCCCCACTCTGGCTTCCCATTACTGCTCGTAATTCTGGACCCTCTCAGGGTTGTTTTATTGGGTGCCGTCTTTATGTTATTTTCCTGAATCTCCATCACCCCCCTGAGAGGGAGGGAAGACTATCTCTGTTTTATAGGTGAGGTGACCTAGGCTCAGAGGAGTGAAGTCTCTTGCCCAAGGTCCCAGACTGAGCTAGTGGTGGAGCCGGGCTCCGTGTCTAGGTCTGACTGACCTGGGTCTGCCCTCTGCCTTGCTGCCCTGCATGGAGGGGTCCATGAGATGACTGTGTATGGGGTCCCTGATGCTGGGCCTGGCCCGCAGTGGCTCAGCAATGGGAGTCTTGCCCTTTCCAGCAGAGTAACACTTCTGACTCTTGCAAAGCTGCCAGCCCCCATCCCCCCACCGCACTCCTTCCCTTCTCCCTGATTCCAGCCTGTCCCTCCTACCAGGCTGGGTGGAGCTCACCTTTATAGGCTTCTTGTTCCAAGGAGTCAGGATGTCAAGGCTCCTCCTTGTCCTCCGCACAGCCCTACTTATTCCCACATCTGGGCGTTTGCCTGCGTAGTGACTCAGCCCAAATGCCCTCCCTGCCATCTCCTGTCTAGATTCTCCCTTTTTTCAAAACCTAGCTCCCTCACCCTGCACTCCCTACCCTCTAAGTCTTCTTTGGGAACTCCAGGCCATACTCCTGATCACCAGGTCCCAGAATCTTCTAGAGGCTGAAATGTACACTGGCAAATCTAAGTCACATCCTGGGTGAGTATCATCCTCCCGTGTTGCGATGAGCTCCACGGGAACCAGCACATGTCCCTCCGGGTCCCCTACGGTGCCTGGCCGGCTTGACCGCACAGCGGGCTCCATCAGTCTGTGCTGACCTGGGCCTGGGCAGCACCGTGCCCACGTGACTGGCTGTGGTAGAAGCCAAGGCCAGGTTCTTGGCTCGCATTCTGTGCCCCAGTGAGAGAACCATGCCGTTATCCCTGGATTTGTGAGATACAGAAGGATCTCATCATAGGTTTAAAAAATAATGATGTGATTTTTCTTTTTAATTCATAACTTTTTTTAGAATTTAAACAGATTTTATTTATCCCTTTCTCATCCTGTCATACCAGGCCATGTGCATTGGAAAAATTTATTTTTTAACTTCTAGTTTTTTTAAATCATTCAAGAAATCTCCAAGTATAGTAGAAGAAAATGAGAACTACAGTGAAACAGAAAGAAGAAAAAAATGATTTGTAGACCTGCCTTCTAGAAGCAACCATAGTTAATATACTTGGCTGAAATTTCTGGCACTATATGTGTGCATTAATCAAACTAGGGTCAATCTGTACAAACTGTTGTGTATCATGCTTTTTCACTCTGGTGAAAATTTTCCATGATTCCATGATTTAAAAAATATATATATATATTTATTTATTGGCTGCATCGGGTCTTAGCTGCAGCACACGGGATATTTCATTGCAGCACGTGGGCTTCTCTCTAGTTGTGGCGCACGGGCTCCAGAGCTCATGGGCTCAGCAGTTGGGACACATGGGCTCTCCAGTTGTGGCGTGCGGGCTCTGCAGGGCGCAGGCTTAGTTGCCCCGCGGCATGTGGGATCTTAGTTCCCCAACCAGGTATTGAACCCACATCCCCTTCGTTGAAAGGTGGATTCTTAACCACTGGACCACCAGGGAAGTCCCTTCCATGATATATTTTTTTTTTTTTTAATTAATTAATTTATTTATTTTTGGCTGCGTTGGGTCTTTGTTGCTGTGCGTGGGCTTTCTCTAGTTGCAGCGAGAGGGGCTACTCTTCGTTGCGGTGCACGGGCTTCTCATTGTGGTGGCTTCTCTTGTTGCGGAGCATGGGCTCTAGGCGCTCGGGCTTCAGTAGTTGCGGTACATGGGCTCAGTAGTTGTGGCTCACAGGCTCTAGAGCGCAGGCTCAGTAGTTGTGGCACACAAGATTAGTTGCTCCACGGCATGTGGGACCTTCCTGGACCAGGGCTCAAACCCTGCATTGGCAGGCGGATTCTTAACCACTGTTCCACCAGGGAAGTCCCACTCAAGCCTCTTTTGCTCTCTGTGTCTCACCTGTAAAAGAAGAGGAGAAGACTAATTATCTCAGAAGGCTTCCAGCTCCTTTCCTCTGAGGTTCTCCCAGCACCAGGCAGTCGTGCCAGCAGCCTCTGCTGGAGACCTGGGTGGTGAAAGACTGGGATATTTATTTACGATTACTCTCCTGGCTATTTCCAAGATGATGCAGGCCCAGGGAAGGTTCAGAGAGTACGGGCTGAAATCAGACTGAGGCAGAGGTGGGAGTAGATGCGCTGGGCTCCCTGGACCCATGAGGGGCATGTGGATTCTGCTTCTCCCAGCACAAAACATACAGATTAGTCTATGGGTTCTGTTTTTTTTTTTTTTTTTTTTTTGGAAGCAAAATTAAGCAGGCATTTATTTTAAGGGCTCTTCCCTGTAAGCCTTATCTAGCATTATGGCTGATATCCTCCAGTGAGGGCTTAGAAGAAAGCCAGAGCCAGGCAGATATGTCTCAGTTTGACACCATGAGGCTGTGAGCCCCCCTGAGCAGCTCTTCTTGCTTTGAGCTCTGGCACAGAGTCAGCACTTAGTGTCATATAAGCAACAGAGAGCCTTTATTTAACTATGGCTTTAAATTATACCCTTAAAGCCCGGGGTAATGACGTGAGTGGAAAGCATTTTTGGGTGGGGTTGAGGCAATGTGGACCAAGACCTTCCCTTCCTCCTCATCTTCTTAACGGCGGCATCTGTAACAACAGACCCTCTCATCTGTGCTATGAGCTCCAGCTTACAAAGTGTTCCACTCATTATCCACGAGGTGGGAATTGAGGATGCTCGTGACCTCTCTAGGGCCCTAGAGATGTTGGGTGGCTGAGTGGGGTGCTCAGGGCCCCTGACTTTCTGTCCAGTGCCCCTTGCTTTGGGTGGGGCTGGTGGCCCCTGGAAGGCAGGGGGAGAAACTGAAGAATAAAAAGGAAACGTGGGGCTGGGGCTTGGAGCATGTGCACAGCCCAGGGTGAATCCTGTGTCTGTCTGTCTAACTGCCCATCCAAGGCCCCGTGGTGGGTGGGGTGAGGGAGGGACCTGCCAAGTCTCATCTGGATCTTTCTCATTTAGTATGATGGATTCGGAGGAAGGCTTTAGACTCAGGGGTGCGGGTTCCTGCTCATTTCTCTGTTACCCGGTTTTAGCTCCAAATTTCTTTTTTTTTGAGAGGTTTGTTTTGATCCATGGGGGTCAGAAATGGGTGCTTTTGCCTTCCTAAAAACAAACAAACAAACAACATGGGTTAAAAAAATATAGATGTATTTTTTAAATTATACAAGTAATTCCAAAGTGTATGAAGTAAAAAATGAAGCTCCCTCTCTTATCGCACCCTCTCTCTTTTTCCTCTATCTACTTCTGAATTATTAACCTCTCTTAACAGTTTGGTTCTCCTTTCAGACCTTTTACTACATGTGTACAAACACAAAGATGTATTGTTGAGGTTATTGGTATTTTTTTTAATATAAAAATGGGGCCATGCCATTCTTTCTTTCTCTCTCTTTCTTTCTTTCTCTCGCTCCTTTTCTCTCTTTGCAATTTGCTTATTCCAAAGAGCAGCTGGGCAACAGGTCCTTGATTCTCTGAAATCTCCTCACTTCCTGCTCTGAGGGGGAAATGATAAGAATAGTCGGTTGCAGAGATAATTTCTAAGTCCCTCGCTTTTTGGATGAGTCCTAGTGAGACCAGCCGACGGCCCATTTGTGGCAGATGTGGAGCCCGAGTCCAGTTCGCCTGACTTTGACATCATCAGGGCTATGCGTTTTTTAAGAGTACCTTCCTGCGTTATCCCTTTAAGTACATCCTGACAACATCCCTGTGAAGTCAGGGGGCAGGAATTATTGAGGCTTGGGGCATGAAGAGCCTTGTCGGATGTCAGGGCTGGAAAGGCCAGGAGCACAGGGCTCTTTGGGTTGATTGATTGAGGGACTACCGTGTGCCAGGTGCTGTAGTGGGAGAGACAGCCTGGCCAAGGGCCTGCCTGGAGGTGGTCACTGACTGTCCCTGGTGCTCTTGGCAGAGTGGGGCGCCATGGAGAGACTCTCCTTGCCCTTAGGAAGGGCCCTGATTCCAGACCTGGGCCAAGAGCTTGGAGTCCCTGAGGAGCTATATGGCACAAGGGTGGGTGGGGGTCTGTGACCTCGGCTGTTGCCACCGAGCCCTCACTTCTCGTGACTCTGTCCCCATCCTCACTTCCTCTGTCTCTCCCTCCCTCCCTCCTCCTTCTCTCTGTGGCTCTTTGTCCGTTTGTCTCCATCTGTCTCTCTCCACGTGTGGTTCCTGTGCCCCTCGCACCGTTCTGTCGCACCACTGCTGCCCCTCTCCCCCATCACGTGCTCTCTCCTTTGTGCCAATGCAGGCGTGCTGGTCACCATGACAACAGAGACAGGCCCAGATTCTGAGGTGAAGAAGGCTCAGGAGGAGGCCCCGCAGCAGCCTGAGGCGGCCGCTGCAGCTACTACCCCTGTGACCCCCGCAGGCCACGGCCATCCCGAGGCCAACTCCAATGAGAAGCATCCGCCCCATCAGGACGCCCGGCCTGCCGAACAGGTGTGTGCCTGAGAGCACGGGATCCCTCTTCCTGCCCAGCCAGTCCTCCAGAAGGGAGGCAACAGGGAAACTGAGATGTATTATTGACCCATTACATGCCAAGCACTGTGCAGGGGGCATAGTGTTCATTTCTATAATTAATTCTCTGAGACCTAAGAAGGTAACTATTGATTTCCCCATTTTACACCTGGGGAAACAGAGCCTCAGCAGGATGAAGTGAGTTACCCAAGTCACATTGCTATAATGCGACAGAAGTGCAAGTCAGATCTAGATCTGATTTTGAAAATCAGTGTTCTTTCAACCTTATTTTCCTATCCCCCAAGGCGGTCCATTCTAGCGGGGCAAGCCCAGGGTGACTGCAGAGCAAAATTCATCACCCTAAAAAGAGACAGAGGACTTGGGGGTTCATCTGGCCATTGAATTCACACCTCCCCGAATTCACAGCTGGACCAGAGAGGGCAGGGACTTGGCCAAGGTCATTGAGGGTGTCAGTGACAGAGTTAGGACTAGTGGGCAGGGCTCTGACCTCCCTTCCCTCCACTAGATCAGTCCCAGCCCCATGCTAGACCCAGTGACAGACTGAGGAGGAGGAGACCACGTCCTGATCACTCATGCACTGTTCTCGGCAGATAGGACAGCTCCCGCCTGCAGGGGAGCAGTGGACCCCTCGTATGAGCCCACCCATTGTACGCAGAAGCTCTGGCTCTCTTCCTGCACACACCCACCATTGACCGTGGTCACCTGGGGGGTCTTAGGGGGCAGTGGCTCTCATTTTGGGGTCTGTCTGAGCCCCAGCTGCATCCTTATTGCATCTCATTTGGACGCAAAGCTATGGTTTCTAGCCCGCTGACTAAACCCTTCCCTTGGTTGGACCTGTAGAGCCTAGACATGGAGGAGAAGGACTTCGGGGAGGCCGATGGCCTGTCGGAGAGGACCACGCCCAGCAAGGCCCAGAAGTCGCCCCAGAAGATTGCCAAGAAATACAAGAGTGCCGTCTGCCGAGTCACTCTGCTCGATGCCTCTGAGTATGAGTGTGAGGTGGAGGTAGGGAGCACCACAGGCCCCGTCCTTGGTCGACCGTCCTGAGAGCCAGGACAGGCCTCTGTGCGCACGCAGCCTGGGCCAAGCCAGAGGGCATCCACTCTTCAAGGAGGCCTGGACCGACTGCCGCGTCCTGGGGAGATGACCCAGCCAGCCCTCCTTTGCACAGATGGTGGCACTGAGGCCCGCAGAGGGCTCTTCTCATTGCAGATAGTGTTAGGCGAGGCACAGGGCTGGTGCCAGGAATCAGGGTGGCTGTACCTCGGCAAGGAGTCACCGTTTCGGGGCTGATCTGTAGCCTGGTAGGACCTGGGCTCTTTCATCTCACCCAGCAGACGCTGAGGTTTCAACCAGAATCATTTTCATGTATATAATGGGTGTGGAGAAGGCTTCTCCCTGTGAAGTACCCTATCCAGGGCACCAGGACAAACTGGTCACTCGAGGCTTCCATGGTGAGGCGTCCCCCAGGCATAGGGAGGTGGCCCATTGGAAGGACCCTCCCCCCCAGGCTGTGGAGACACCCTGTGGCATGGCTCTGGCCCACAGTGGGTGGCTGGGCAGACACCTCCTCTCTGGGGTCAGCCCTCCTGGTCCCACATGTAGCATCTCCCTTTCCTGTACAGGCTGGAACTCCCACCCGAATTCTAAGCTCTCACTCGCCCCCTTCGAGGTTCTTCCCCGGTCCAGGCACCATTCCTGGCCCATCCACGTGTATGGAAGAGTCCAGAGGGTGGCTTTACTGCTAAGAGTTACAGGACCCACCTCCCTTTCTCCCCCGATCCCTGGTCTTAAGGGACCGACTTCTGAGACCTGGGAGGCTGGCTCTGTCGTCTTTGCCGGGTTGGGTTTTGTTTTTTTTTTTAATGTTTATTTCTTCCATAGAAAGGTTGCAGGGTGGACATCTTGCCTACTCCTGGGCAAAACAAAGGGATATCTTCTCCCTCTTTCCTCCTGCCCATGGTGGCCCCAAGGTGCTGTTTCAGTTACCCTAGAAGAGTGGAAGGGTTTGGCCAAGGCCACTCTCTCTGAAGCTCTCCTCCAGGCTCAGGAATCCCTTGGTTTCCCAGCTGCTCCCCACATTCAGGCCTGGTGCCAGTCCCCAGTGACCTAGCCAGACCTTGCAGGGACCTCACCTGCTCCCTGGAGTCCGCTGCCTCTTTGGGTAGTGACTGCTTCGCGCGCCCCCTGCCCCGTGATCCCTTTATCGATGCTCATCCTCACCCCTGTGGGTTTGGGGTACCCAGCCAGGTTCTGGGCTTTGTCCTTCTGAATCCTCAGGCCCAGGTGGTGTTCAGAGAGGTACCACGCCTTGCTGATGGGAGTTGGGGGGAGAAGGTGGCTTGAACAGTGCTGCTTGCAGCTGAGGCTGATTTAGGCTCTGTGAGCCCCTGTGGAACCTCACTTGCTGCCTGGGTAGAGGTGATGCTCCCTTAGTGTAAGGGGAGGGGCCAGTGGAGGACAGTCATGCTGTGACCCTGAGTCCCAGGCCCTCCCCTCCTCCCCTGCCCATGTCCCTCACATGTCAGGTGGCTTGTCTCTTCCTCTCACACTCAAAACTCAGACTTTTGGTTTTCTGCTCCTTGGGTCCAACTTAGCCTGTTTCTCCTAATCACTGTACAGGAAGGAAAAATCAGTCACTCCCCGACCCCACTCTGGCTTTCCCCCAAGCAGGTCTGAGTTCTAGGAGGGCCCCAGGAGGGCTTGGAAGAAGGCAGTTGATGGGCTAGGCATTAGTGTCCCCCCAGGATTCCTTAGGACTTGGAGAGCAGAGCCAGGTGGGTGGCAGGAGTGCTGAGATCCTCCCCAGATGCTGGAAACCTCTTGCAGGTTTTCAGGTCGTCCTGGTGGAGCCTGGGGCGTCTCCCCGCCCCATGCTGAGGTGTGTTCCGGCCTCACGGCAGCTCTGCTCTTCTCTTCAGAAACACGGCCGGGGCCAGGTGCTGTTTGACCTGGTCTGTGAGCACCTCAACCTCCTGGAGAAGGACTACTTTGGCCTGACCTTCTGTGATGCCGACAGCCAGAAGGTGCCTGGACTGGGGAGTGGGGCTGACTGGAAGGCCTGCCCTGGGTGGTGGTGGGGTCTCTTCCCTTAGGCCCCCATTGGCCTGGCCACATCCCATGGCTTCCATCAGTCCTCAGATCTTCATTAGGTACCTTCTGTCTGCACGCCTCCAGGGTTCACCCTGCCCTGTCCATCCTCAGTTCTCTGTCTCCCCTGTGCCCCTTCCTTGGGGGCCTGCAAGTCAGCCCCAGATGGGTATCTGGAGAGCCGTGGCATGGCTTCCTGTGGGAGCTGAGGCACTCACCCCCCAGCCCCTCTTCCCCACCCTTGGGAAACTCCTGCCCGAGTTTCCTTCTTCCCACCAATCCCACTGCAGCTGCATTACCCGTTCACCATGCTGCCTCCAAGCACTGCCAGGCCCAGGGCCCCGGGTCCCAAACCCTGAGTGAAGCCAGGCCTCATTCCCTCACCTCCCAGTCCCGGGGGAAAGGACCCAGACAGCTCAGCCAGGGAAGGGTGTTCCCAGCTAAGGGGCTGTTGGCAGGCCATTTCGGGACGTTTCTCTCTCCTAGCCCTACCCAAGTCCCCTCCTCCATCTCCCTCTAAAGAACTCTATCTTCTCCTACAGAACTGGCTGGACCCCTCCAAGGAAATCAAGAAGCAGATCCGGAGTGAGTGGCTTGCTGTGGTTGGAACTGGTAGTGGAAGGTGGCGGGGGGGCTCCGGGCCTTGAGGGCCCTAGGTGCGCTGCTCCCTCCTCCTTTGGGAAGTGCGTTCGGACCCGTGAGTTCGTTTGCTGTGTGTGGCACATCTTGGGGAAGGCAGGGTATTGTTTTAGAGATGAGGAGCCTGAGGCCTGGACAAGAGGAGTCACCCAGCAGGTTAGCAGAGGGATCACAGCTGCCTTCAGGACGTCAGCCCTAGAAGGGACCTGCAGAGTCATCTAGGGCAAGGGGACAGACCGATGGCCTCAAAACAGCCACCTTCTGTCCAGGGCCAGTGCAGGCTTCGGTGATCAGTGACCTTTGACTCAGCTCAGAATCCTTGTCCCCACAGTACTCTAGGCCACTGCCAGCTGAGAGGAGTGAATGTGTCCTGTGTTTAATGATGGGTGACTGAGGCCCAGAAAGAGGCAGTTGTTTACCCAAGATCACAGAGTGAGGTATGGGCCACGCCAGGTCTTGAGCCCTGGCCCCCTGGCACCATCCTGCACTCTTTTCAGGGCCTGGGTCAAAGACAGATGAGCAAGCCAAAAACCTGTCTTTTCTGGCCCAGAGGAAAAAAGGGTTGGGAGGGGGGCGGGGCAGCCTTCAAACGCCAGAAGGGGGAGGTAGGTGGCCTCAGCCAGGGGGCATGCGGTGAGTGGGGACTTGGAGCCTAGAGGCAGTGATGCCTCCACTGGGGGCTCCTCCCCTCGGCTGTGCTTGGGCTTCCTGGTCCCCTGGCTGGAAAGCTAGAGCCAAGCCTGTTGCCGTGACAGCAGGCAGCTGGGCCTAGGGATGCCAGCTGACTATGCAGGAGGGGGCTGTAGCCTCCTGTAAGTTGGAGATAAAGAGGCAGGCTCACGGACAGAGCCCCCCTCTCTGGGGCCAACAGGGTCCTAGGCCTGACCTTTATGCTGTCCCCAGGAACCCCAGCCCAGCTGGGAGGCCTGGCTCTCATGCCTGAAAGAATCAGAACACACACAGTGGCTGAGAGTGTTTGAGAAGGACCAGGACCTTAGAAAAGAGAAGCTGCTGACAGAATCTTTGGGTCTCGACTCCCTCCCCAGGGCAAGAAGTGATCCCCTTGGGTTATGAAGGAGCAGGGCTCCCTCCTTTATTTAGTAAAGCCACAGTCTCTCTTCCTACCCCTGCAGTCTCCACCCACTCGCCCCAGTTCTGGCCTCTGGGGCCCCCACAGAGCAATTTTTTACCCACTTTCTTGATTTGTGACAACTCCAACCTTCTAAAGGTGGCACCTGAGTCCTTATGTCCTGGCCTTCAGAGTTGGGTATATTTCCTCCCAAATCTCAGGGCCCATCACCTAGGGCACTGGGGGCAATTCCTCCACCTCTCTGGATTCCCGCATCTCCCTAGCACGTGGATTAGTGATTACTGCCTCACTAGGTGGGGATGAAGGTTCAGTGATGTGAGTGTGGACAACAGCCAGCACATAGTAGGTGCTTCACATAGTAGGAGGCAATCTGGTGTGATGGTTGAAAGGACAGATGCGGGAAGTAGACTGCCTGGATTTGAATCCTGACTCCGTCACTGCTTCTCGTGTTATTTAATTGCTCTGTGCCTCATCATCTGTAAAGTGGGGGTAACCCTTATCTTTAGGGTTGTTGTGAGGATTAAATGAGTTATTAGGTGTTCAACACCTAAAAGGTGCCTGCCCATAGTAACACCCAGTTTGTATTAGCCATTATTATTATTATTAATTGTTACCATTATTCTCTCGCTCTCTTTTTTTCTTGGCTGTGCTGTGTGGCTTGTGAGATCTCAGCTCCCCGGGATCGAACCCGGGTCATGGCGGTGAAAGCCCGGAATCCTAACAACTAGGCCACCAGGGAACTCCCCCATTGTTATTCTTGAGACAGGGATTGTTTCCCCTTGAGGCTGCTGTTTCCAAGGAGTCAGCTGCAGTCAGGAGCCTAGGTTGTGGAGTCATATGATCAGAGGCTAGACCTGTTTTCTATCGCTGACTAGCTGGGTGATCCTGGGAGAATGACTTAACCTCTCAAAACCTGCATCTATTAAAAGGAAAGTCTACCTCAGGATCACTATAAAGATTAAATTCCAAAAACACGTGTAAAGTTCTTAGCAAGCCAAGCGACTGGCACTTAGTAAGTGTTGGAGACATGACAGCTGTAGGGTGAAGATGGTGGTGCCTGCAGGGACAGGATGGTAGTGATGGCATGGCCTCCAGCCCTTCCTGTCCACAGCCCTGCCCTGGATGGGTCTCTCTTTCTCACTTTGTCAGAGGTCCCTTTAGAGCATGGAGCCCAAAATGTCCCAGGGGTGGTCTGACCGTTGTTCTGGATTATGGCCTTTCATCAAGGCCTCCTCCCTCCCCCCTCTTCTTAAGTGGTCATCCCTCTTCTTGGTTTGCAGAGCTTGTTTCCAGCCGAAACCGCAGCGTTTATTTTTCTCTACCTTGTAAATGTGTACCATTGATTTTTCATATCTAAACGTGGAGGTTAACATTTATCCCTGGGAAATGTTCTTTGTTACTTTTAGCCCATTATATTTGCTTTTGGGTCTTGTTTATAATCCAATTCTGCCATCTGAGATGGAGTCACCATTATATAGGGCAGAGTTTTGCAACATGTTTCCTGAGAAACTTTAATCTGGAAGGATGCCCTGTGACAAATAGATGCAACAGGTCAGATGGATTCTGGGAACTCTTGAATGCATGTCCCCCTTCAAGAGGTGCAATGCACAGTAGCAGAGTGAGGGCTCTGAGAAGTCCAAAGTTAGGAAGCCTGTTTAATGTGGTATTTTCTAGATTAATTATCTTCCCATGGATGTCCTGGGGCACAGACTTTGGTGCAGAGGGAAGAGCATGGGCTCTGGATCCAGGTGGCCTGGGTCTGAACCTCAGCATTGCCACTTCCTAGCTTGTGGCCTTGGACTGGCCACTTTACTGCCTGGGCCTCACCGTCCTCATTTACAAAATGGGGATAATCATTATCAAGGGCTTACTTACAGGGATGTTGTGAGGTTTAATGAAGCAATGTTTGTAAAGTAATTAACGGCATGTCTGGCATGCACCATTGTTGTCTTTCTTTCTACCTTCCTTCCCACTGCTAGTTCACAAGTCTGTTAATCTGGGCCTCAGTCTCCTCATCTGTCAAGTGGGAATAATGTGCCAGCCTCTCTTATTGTCCTAAGATGTCCTAAGATGATTCTTATGGGAAGACTGTCCTAAGATGATTCTTATGGGAAGACTGAAAAATTGCCCATGGCATGGTGCATCTGGGCCACCCATGGGGGAGATGGGCCCTCTCTGATCTCTCCTCCATCTTCTCCTCTCAGGCAGCCCCTGGAATTTTGCCTTCACAGTCAAGTTCTACCCCCCTGACCCTGCCCAGCTGACAGAAGACATCACAAGGTGAGGGCTGGGGAGGGGTGGTGGTGGAGGGGGATGGACACAGAGCCCTGGGAGACACAAAGTGGTATATGGGTACATGATGGCAGGTGCAAACCCAGATGCCTACTGAGGCCAGGCAGACAGCATCAACAAGGGAAGCCAACTCAGTGCAAGAGAAAGTGATGCAAATGGAGTGGTCGATGGCAACTGACCCTTGACTTCAGAGGGGGAGGTGTCACAGGGAACAGTGGGGCTCAGTGTGAATTCAAGAGGACAGATGCCACTTAAAACAGTTGCCGTTCTGCTCGGGCAGTCACTGCCATGTGGGAACCAGGCCTGATAGTTGGAGTGAAGCTAGAGATTTGAGGGTAAAAACCACACTTTTTAAATATTGGCAACTAATTTAAACTCTTCAAAAGCATGGGGTGGGCCATCTCTGGGTAGGATAAAGCAGACATGTCTGAAGGCCGATGTGCTGGCTGGACCGCCAGGTTTTAACTTTGGGGGTAGGAGGGATTAGAACACAGATGCCTTTGCAAGTGGGAGTTTGGTCCTGTGTGCTACTCTGTGCACATGGCAGGCGAGTGGGAGTCAAATGAGGCATGTGACCACCCCAGGGAGGCAAGCCCAGGCCGCTGGGGTGAACGTGGATTGTAGGTGCAGGCCTTGTGCCTCAGTGCCAGTAGATAACAAGGCTTAACGATTAGAAGGGGGTGCAAAGCATCTCTCAGGATGAGAGCTTCCATGGGGCTCATCCTGCCTCTGAAATCCAAAACAGGGAGGGGCCTTTCTCTTTATCTAAGCCCCTTCCAAAGAGATAGTCTTACTTTACAATATCCTGGGGCTGTGTCATCCTTGTGCTGGGCCCTAAACACCCACCAACCATAGGATGTGGCTTGGAGTTATTCCTACGGCAGGAGAGGGAGCTACTAAGCCATCCTCTGTCTCCCATTGGGTCCCTTCTTAAGCTCTGCCATTTGCCAGGCAATGGGCCAAGGTCAAGATACGGACTCTGGCCTTGGGAGATAAAACAGATATCCCTGGAATAGATCAGACCTGAGGCCTTGGCCTCATTAGCCCCGCTCTAATCCCTGAGGTCAGCTTGGGGCCAAGGTGGCAGCAGCAGGATCTAAACTTCATTCCCGAAAGGGCTGAGAGCTTTAGACCAATACAGCCCCCATCCCCTGGTCTTGCCCACTGGTCCCTCTCCTCTTTGTGCTGGTCCCTGGACATTGGGCCTCTAGGGACACCAGGAAGGAAGTTAGCCCTGCCCGGTGTGGCTGGCCTCAGAGGATGGGGTGGTAGTAGCAGCTGATTTAGTCAAAAATATTTAGAACCCAAATAAACGGGTCAGAATGACAAAGTGACTGAAATGAAAGACTGATCAGTGTGTTTGGATATGATTTCTGAATTTGGAGACTTTTGAATGAAATGCTTATAAGCCCACACTCGATGCCTGTAATGTTTGAGCAGCTGCTGGCTCTGAGCCTCTGCCGTGGCTCTGAGCACACACTGAGGCCACATGTATTGTACTTTTGGCCAGAGCTTCAGTTCTGACTGCAGAATAATGTCGTGGAGCAGTAAAAACTATACTAAGTAAAAGCCACTTAAAAGGAAAAGAAACAAGTCATTGGAAAAAAAAATGATGAAACATAGCAAAGTGGGCAAGGAGGTATTGTAGGCTTAGCATGAACTGGAATATTAAAAAAAATTACACAGTAACTTAAAAAGCAATAAAAAGTGCTTTGAAATGGTTCTAAAAGTTGTAAAATCATCCAAGTGTGCATGAAAGTTATAAAAAAAATCATGGCCTAGTGGTTGGAAATGTTTCTTTTAAACCAATTTGGACAATTCATTTAGAGCTGGAGCCAAATAAAAAAGTTTTGAGAAAACATTGACAAACAGGTTAGTCCAGACAGTGGAATATGGTGCAGAAGTTAAAATGAATAAAGGGGTCACGTGTGCTGACATGGGAAGGGCTCTAAGGCACATGGTTGGGAGTGAGAAAGCAAGCTGTGTGGGCAGATATAGCATTTGATAACATTTACATGGTAAAAACACCCATGAACCAAAACTACATGCATTTTAAAAAATTTATTTTATTGAAGTATAGTTGATTTACAATGTTGTGTTAATTTCTGCTGTACAGAAAATGATTCAGTTATATATACATATATACATATTCTTTTTCATATTCTTTTCCATTATGGTTTATTATAGGATATTGAGTATTGTTCCCTGTGCTATACAGTAGGACCTTGTTGTTTATCCATTCTATATATAATAGTTTGCAACTGCTGATTCCAAACTCCCATTCCATCCCTCCCCCACCCCCTCTCCCCTTTGGCAACCGCAAGTCTGTTTTCTATGTCTGTGAGTCTGTTTCTGTTTCATAGATAAGTTCATTTGTGTCATATTTTAGATTCCACATGTAAGTGATATCATGTGGTATTTGTCTTTCTGTTTCTGATTTACTTCACTTAGTATGATAATCTCTAGTTGCATCCATGTTGCTGTAAATGGCAATATTTCATTCTTTTTATGGCTGAGCAATATTCCATTGTATATATGTACCACATCTTCTTTATCCACTCATCTGTCGATGGACATTTAGATTGCTTCCATGTCTTGGCTAATGTAAGTAGTGCTGCTGTGAACCTAGGGGTGCATGTATCTTTTCTAATTACAGTTTTTTTCTGGATATATGCCCAGGAGTGGGATTGCTGGATCATATGGCAACTGTATTTTTAGTTTTTTGAGGAACTTCCGTACTGTTTTCCATAGTGGCTGCACCAATTTACATTCCCACCAACAGTGTAGGAGCGTTCCCTTTCTGCCACACCCTCTCCAGCACTTGTTATTTGTAGACTTTTTAATGATGGCCATTCTGACCGGTGTGAGGTGGTACCTCATTGTAGTATTGATTTGCATTTCTCTAATATTTACCGATGATGAGCATCTTTTCATGTGCCTATTTGCCATCTATATGTCATTTTGGAGAAATGTCTATTTAGGTCTTCTGCCCATTTTTTGATTGGGTTGTTTTGTTTTTTTTGTTATTGAGTTGTATGAGCTGTTTATGTATTTTGGAAATTAAGCCCTTGTTGGTTACATCATTTACAAATATTTTCTCCCAGTCCGTAGGTTGTCTTTTTGTTTTGTTTATGGTTTCCTTGGCTGTGCAAAAGCTTGTAAGTTTGTTTAGGTTCCATTTGTTTACTTTTGATTTTATTTCTATTGCCTTGGGAGACTGACCTAAGAAAATGTTGGTACGATTTATGTCAGAATGTTTTGTTATGTTCACTTCTAGAAATTTTATGGTGTCCTGTCTTGTATTTAAGTCTTTAAGCCATTTTGAGTTTATTTTTGTGTATGGTGTGAGGGTGTGTTCTAACTTCATTGGTTTACATGCAGCTGTCCAACTTTCCCAACACCACTTGCTGAAGAGACTGTCTTTTCCCCATTGTATATTCTTGCCTCCTTTGTCGAAGATTAATTGACCATAGGTGTGTGGGTGTATTTCTGGGCTCTCTATTCTGTTCCATTGATCCATATGTCTGTTTTTGTGCCAATATCATGCTGTTTTGATTACTGTAGCTTTGTAGTATTGTCTGAAATCTGGGAGGGTTATGCCTCCTGCTTTGTTCCTTTTTTAAAAATTTATTTATTTATTTTTGGCTGCATTGAGTCTTCATTGCACTGTGCGGGCTTCCCATTGCAGTGTCTTCTCTTGTTGCAGAGCACGGGCGGGCTTCAGTAGTTGTGGCTCATGGGCCGTAGAGTGTAGGCTCAGTAGTTGTGGCGCATGGGCTTAGTTGCTCCGCAGCAGGTGGGATCTCCCCAGACCAGGGCTCTAACCCATGTCCCCTGCACTGGCAGGTGGATTCTTAACCACTGCCCCACCAGGGAAGTCCCTCCTGCTTTGTTCTTTTTCCTCAGGATTATTTTGGCAATTCTGGGTCTTTTATGGTTCCATATAAATTTTAGGATTATTTATTCTAGTTCTGTGAAAAATGTCCTGGGTAATTTGATAGGGATTGCCTTAAATCTGTAGATTGCTTTGGGTAGTATGGCCATTTTAACAATGTTAATTCTTCCAATCCAAGAGCATGGGATATCTTTCCATTTCTTTGAATCATCTTCAGTTTCCTTTATTAATGTTTTATAGTTCTCAGCATATAAGTCTTTTACCTCCTTGGTCAGGTTTATTCCTAAGTATTTTATTTTATTTTTGATGTTATTTTAAAAGGGATTTTTTCAGCAATAATGGAGCTTCTGCATGTAGTGGATTGGTAACTTGTTCCATGGTGGCAAGAAAGAAGTCTTTTTTTTTCTTGCTGTATAACGTTTCAGTTTTAATAATTTTGAAGCACTTGGATGCATTCAGAAATTAAAAATAAAAACCATAGATTAAAAAAATAAATAAAAGGGATTTTTTTTTTTTACATTTCCTTTCTGATATTTTATTGTTAAGTGTAAAGAAATGCAGCCAATTTCTGTATGTTAGCCTTGTATCCTGCTGTCTTGCTGAAGTCATTTGTCAGTTCTAGCAGTTTTTGTGTGGCGTCTCTAGGGCTTTCTATATGTAGTATCATGTCGTCTGCGTATAATGACAGTGTTACCTCTTCCCTACCAATTTGGATACCTTTTATTTCTTTTTCCTGACTGATGGCTGTAGCAAGGACTTGAAATACTATGTTGAATAGAAGTGATGAGAGTGGGTATCCTTGTCTTGTTCCAGATTTTAGAGAGAAGGCTTTCAGCTTTCACTGTTGAGTATTATATTGGCTATGGGTTTGCCATAAGTAGCTTTTATTATGTTGAGATATGTTTCCTCTATACGCAGTTTCATAAGAGTTTTTATCATGAATCGATGTTGAATTTTATCAAATGCTTTTTCTACATCCATGGAGATGATCGTGTGAAAACCACATGCATTTCTATATGTCCACGGAGGAAAAAGGTCTAAACACCACAGGGATAACAGGAGTGACCTCTGGGGGAGGGAGTTAGGACTGAGAATGGACATCAAGAGGAAATTTAGAATTATCTCTAAAGTTTACATTTTTCCCACAATAAGAGTATATTAATAGTATAATTAAAAATACATCACATTTTTAAAAAATGGTTAAACCAGCAAAGCAGTCCTAATTTAGCTTGAAAATGAGTTAGAAATCGAAAATGTTCCTATAGTAGGAAAAATCCTTCAAACTTAGAAATGAACAAAAATGCTTAACGTTGCACGAAATGTTACATAACCATCTTCTAGGATACACCCAAAGTATTAACACACGACATGCCAGTGTCTGGGAACATTTCTCTTCTGCTGCGCTGAGCGTTGATCAGTTGGTGCTGATGGATCGGTGGGCAGCTGTGCTTGGGGGAATCTAGGGAGGGAGTGGCCCCCGTGCCCATGCCAGCTCTCCCCTATGTCCAGATACTACCTGTGCCTGCAGCTGCGGGCGGACATCATCACAGGCCGCCTGCCCTGCTCCTTCGTCACGCATGCCCTGCTGGGCTCCTATGCCGTGCAGGCTGAGCTGGGTGACTATGATGCTGAGGAACACGTGGGCAACTATGTCAGCGAGCTCCGCTTCGCCCCTAACCAGACCCGGGAGCTGGAAGAAAGGATCATGGAGTTGCACAAGACGTACAGGTGAGAGGGCCTCCGCCCAGCCCTCCCCTTGCTCCTTGCCCTGTTGGCCAGAACCTTCCTGGCTAGGCCACCGGATCGTATGCTGTAAGTACCCCACCTGGCTCTGCCGTTGACGTGAGGTGTGTCTGAGAGCACATCATCTCATCAGATGGGAATGATGGTAACTTGCTATGTGACCTTAAATGACTGCTTGGAACTTCAGGTTCTTAAGCTCTTGTACTGGTATGGTAATTCCCTGTCCTTGGCCTCTGAGAATCGGTCTCTTTAACTGCCAATTGGAGATGATAATAATGATTGTGTGTCCCTGGGTAAGTGTCCTGATGTCTCCGGGCATAAAGTTCAAAAGTTTACATTCTAAAGCCAGACCGTCTGGTTCACCTTTTGGCTTTGTCTGTTTCTAACCGGAGGATCTCGGGCTGGTCATTTCACTTGCCTGTGCTTTAGTTTCCTCATTTGTTTAATGGGGGCGCTAATAAAACCTATGCTGTAGGGTCCTGGAGGGGCTAAATGGTGCATATTAGAGACACACTGCATGGTGGCTATTACTGTTGCTCTGTGATTTGAGGGGTTGGGTAGTTGATTGTGCAGTGGAAAGCAGCTTGTGCCAGGAGTTAGAAGATAGTTAACTGGTTGTGTGATTATGGGCTGGGTGTTTAACCCATCAGCCCCATTTGTTACCTGTATAAGGACTAATAAGGACTTAGATTATCAGTGTTTCTCAACTACTGGTATTCGGGGCAGGAGAATTCACCGTGCAGGATGTGTGGCATCCCTGGGCCCCAGGCATTAAATGCCCATAACACCCCCTCAGTCATTGTAACAACCAAAATGCATCCCCCATTTCCAAATCCCTGCCGTGAGGGTGATACCCGCACCCTGGGGGGACCCTTGGAACTAAATGATCCTTTTAAGCTGGAAGTACTTTGGACTCTAAGTCCAGGCTTGTCGGGGAACCCAATGTGATAAATGACGTGGAAGTGCGTTGTAAACTGTAAAGTGCCATGCATGTGGGAGAGGGGGTATGGTGACATTATCACATTGCTAATAAGGATGGAGGGAATGAGGAGGGTTGCGTCCTGGGGAGAGAGGCCATCTGGAGAGAGGCCCAGGTCCAGAGGTGGAGGGATCATGGACGTAGGGAAGAAAGCCTGCTGGGGTGTGATGGGACACGAGGTCTGGGTGGCAAATGTGTCTCTCAGAGACTTGCACACCAACTCTGATTGGCTAGTAACGGCTGCTGTTGTATTGTGTTGAGCAGGATACTGAAACCGTGCAGCCGGTTAGCAGTGTCTGCCTGGGTTCTTTGTCATCCCTGTTGTAGGCAGCAAGGTGTGTTAGGGATTCGCAAGAGTCCTAATAATTCAGAGGGGGAAGTTCAGATCAATATGGGCTGGAGAAATCCTAACGGCCATCCCTTCAGCTGTAACAGCTCTTTTGACATAAAGCAGATGGACTTCCAGCGTCCAGGTATTCTGCACAAAAGCTCCCCGAGGTAGACAGAGCACAGGAAACTGAGGCTATGAGACAGATGTAAACGAAGTGGCTGGGAACGTGACCCATGGAGCCACATTGTCTGCATTCAAATCCTGACTTTGCTACTTAATAGCTGTGTGCCCTTAGGCAAGTTATTCAACCTCTCTGTGCCGTAGTTTCCTCATCTATAAAGTGGGAATAGCGATATCTACCTTATAGTCCTGTTATGAGGATTCAAATGAATTAATACATGTAAAGTGCTTGGAACAGTAACCAGCATGTAGTACTCAATACGTGTTACTCAGTAAACGCTGTGAGAGTGTACAGTTTCCTGGCAGCCAAAGCCAAGAAGGAACTTGATGAATTACGTAACTCTTCTTTTCAGAAAGGAGAGAGATTCCTCCTTTCCTCAAGGGCGATTAAGTGGTTTCTGATACAAAGTTCTGCGAAAAGTAGCCTTTATGGGTAATAAGTTAGGAGCCCCGGGTGATAACGATAAGCAGTGTCATCCACAGTGGTTTCACTGTCGTGAAGAAACAGAATTTATGGCCCCCATTTAATCCAGTGGCAGAATGAGGCAAAAATCTGGACTCCCGGCTGAGGCCTTGAACGCTTCCTGGAGAAAATAAGGCTGGACCTGAGCTTTGGCAGGAGATGAGAGTTCAGTGGACTGAAGCGGGGGCTAGGGGTGCACTGTCCGGCTCTGAGAGCAGAGGTGAGGGACCGGGGAGGCCCAGCCGCACTCCTGCTCCAGAATGCTTGCCTTCCTGGAATCACAGGTTCTGCTCACGGTCATCTTCGGCTGGCAGGACTCAGGCCTTGGTCCTTCCACCGGCCACCAGCGATCACTTTCTTTCCCTTAGGGGCATGACCCCAGGAGAAGCAGAAATCCACTTCCTAGAGAACGCCAAGAAGCTTTCTATGTACGGAGTAGACCTGCACCATGCCAAGGTATTGCTGGGTGCCAGGGTTCCCCTAGGTTCTGGGGCATGCTTCTGAGGAGCTACCAGGGTCTTCTGGAGGGCTTGGTGTGCCAGACTCTGTGCTACCTCCAGCCTGAAGCCTTTTCTCTTCTCATTTCTCATAACTTGACCTTCCATAACCCTTTATTTCCCCATGATCCTTATTAATTTCTCCTTGTATTATATTTATGGATGAATCTGTCTGTGCCACCGCTAGATTGAGAGCTTCATGAGGGAAAGACATAGGCCTTAACTTATTTCTGTATCCTGAGCATATAGCATATGACCTAGTATGCATAGGTACCCCTGACTGTTTGCTGGGTGAATGAATGATTGAGTGATTGATAGAGAAAATGATTGAACAAGTGAGTGGGTGAATAAAGGACAAAATGAGTGAACAAATGGCTCTGTGGGGCTCCAGCATGGAAGCTCAAACCCTGCTCCTGAGGGCTCATTACAAGCAGAGCTCAGAATGGGGTTTCGGGGTCATTCCACGGTCCCTTCTCACACAGGACTCCGAGGGCATCGACATCATGTTAGGAGTCTGTGCCAACGGCCTGCTCATCTACCGGGACCGGCTGAGGATCAACCGCTTTGCCTGGCCCAAGATTCTCAAGATCTCCTACAAGAGGAGTAACTTCTACATCAAGATTCGGCCTGGGGAGGTGAGCCTGCCTTGGAACTCCCTTCTTCACCAGGATCAGCTAAAACGGAGGGGACCCCGGCAGCTGGGCCTGGGTTTTTTCCTACCCAGGATACATGGATGGAGGTGCTGGGTGCTGGGTGGGGAGACAGTCCTCTTTTGCTGGGGCTCTCTACATAGACTTTGCACTCTAGGTATGTGCCTGCACACACACACACACACACACACACACACACACACACATACACACACGCACACGGGAGTATACGCATAAGGAAAACCACATATATTCAGGTTATACAGATCAGGGAATGTTATGTCCATGTCCCTGATTTGCTTACATGTGGTACTCATATGAAGATACACACAGACACACGACTACACACACGTGCAAACATGAACATGCCCACCCTCCACATCCCGCCCATCACAAAGTCCGCTTGGTTCTACCTCTAGAATAAACGCGAGCCCGTCTGCTTCTGTCCCTCTGTCCACTGCACCAGCCACCGTCTCTCCCCTCCATCCCTACACTGTCCTTCTCACTGGTCCCCCGGCCTCCACTGCCGCTCCAGGCCATTTTCCTCATAGCTGCTGGAGAGAGCTTAAAAGTCCCTTGCATCAGTTCATGTCAAACCCACCCCACTCCCACTCTTCACTTGAACCTTCTGAGAGCTCTCCTTAGCTCTTGGACTCAAGTCCTAACTCTCTCTGGCCACCTGCCTCTCCCACGTGCCTCTGCCCCGCTGCCCCACGCCCACGCCCACGGGCACTCCAGCCCCTTCACCCTTCTCTGAGATCCTTGAATAAGCAAACTCTTTCCTGCCCGAGCCCTTTGCATTTGTTGTTCCCTCCACCTGAAATCCTCTGCCCCACCTTCTCACATAGCTTTGGTTCCTTTCCCATCCTCCAGTTCTCTGCTCAGAGATCCCCTGTGTAGAGGGCGTTCCCTGATCACCCTTTCTAAAGTAGCGCGCCTGCGCAGGCATTCCCTGTCACATCACACATCTCTATCCATTCCTTTGTGCCCTTATCAGTATCTGAGATGAGCTTGTTTACCCATTTATCATCCCCGCGCCCCCCCCCCCCCCCCCAAGAATCTTCTGTCTTGGTCACCCTGGTGTCTCTGTTGCTTAGCTCTGGATCTGTCACAGAGTAAGGGCTTAATCCAGGTGATTGATTAAATGAATGAATAAATGAACAAACAGGCCAGAGTCATACAGGCCTGAGAAAGAGGTTCAGAAAGGATGGACTGGTGGTGAGAGTGGGCCCAGGCCTTCCTTCTGACCCACCCTCCCTGGTTTTGCAGTATGAGCAGTTTGAGAGCACGATTGGCTTTAAGCTCCCAAATCACCGGTCGGCCAAGAGACTGTGGAAGGTCTGCATTGAGCACCATACGTTCTTCCGGTGAGCCTGCCCCTGGGGTGTGGTAACAGGGGCTGAGGCCGAGGCTGTGAGTGGATGTGGGTAACGGCTGTGTTTTGTCAGTAGGAGGAGTTAGTAGGGACTCTAGGAAAGCCCTCCTCCTCCTCTATCCCCAAGTCTCTCACCTTCTGGACCACTTAGAGTTGTCGTAGGTGGTGGGACAGCGGGACGGAAGGCCAGCTGTAGTCCAGCCTTGGGCCTGGCGTTGCGCATCTGATCCTCTCTCCTTGCCTCCATCCCTCCCCTGCAGGCTGGTGTCCCCTGAGCCCCCACCCAAGGGCTTCCTGGTGATGGGCTCCAAATTTCGGTATAGTGGGAGGACCCAGGCACAGACCCGCCAGGCCAGCGCCCTCATCGACCGGCCCGCACCCTTCTTTGAGCGTTCCTCCAGCAAACGGTACACCATGTCCCGCAGCCTTGATGGAGGTATGTCCCACGCTGGAGGTGGCGGGGAGAGTGGCGTGTCGAGGGGGATGGGAGCATGCCGGGTCCTGTAGAATGAGCAGTGGAGGCGGTAAACACATGACAGTTGATTTGCACCAGGCATGGTGGCCCCAGAGCACTGCTGCATCTGGGGACTCTCCGTGGGTTAGTCTAGCCTACGGTACCACTTCTGCTGGAATGTGACACTGACACTCTGGGCTTCTCACAACTTCCCTGAGTTGCGGCCTTTTGGGGTCCCAGGTTCAGCCATATGGTTTTCTGGGCCCCCTTCCCGAGAAGCTTAGCAGTTCACAGCCTGTCACCATTCTGGAATGGTATATTGTAACTGCAGTGTGGAGCTGGTGATGCCTTACTGGAGGCGAAGGAGTTGTTCCCAATCATTTTTTTGGTTCCACTGGGCTCTGGGCTGATTGACATCTAACTGCATGTTAGTCTCCACTGCCCCCGTGTCTCTTGAGTTGATAGGTGCCCTGACTATTAATGAGAATTGGCCATACATTGCCCTGTATCAAGCAGACCAGGGCTTCTCAAAATGTGGCATCAGAACCAGCTGTGAGCTTGTAAACTTGAGAAGTCCCAGGCCTTTACCTAATCCTACTAACTCGGCACCCTTTAGGGCCCAGAACTCTCCCAGGATATGCTCACAAGTTTATAGGAGAGGGTCAGAAGCCACATGGGGCATTGGGAGTTAGGCAGAGTTAGGGCTCAGCCTTGATACTCACCAGTTGCTCCACGGATGCAGGAGGTGGTCCATAAATATTTGAATGAAAGCATGGGAGGCCTTGAGCAGCTTAACTCCCCTGGACCTATTTCTTCTTCTGCAAAATGAATAATACCTACTTCATTGTGTTATAGGGAGAACGGAACAAGTAATACCTCTACCACACCCAAAACAGTTCATGGCACATAGTAGGACCTTAATAAATTGTAGGACCACTAATAAATTATTATTGCTTTTAGGTTTGTAGCGGGTAGCTTGAAGGTAGGAGATGGGGACTTTGGTGGGGGACCAGCAGATGCTCCCAGAACATATTGGGGCTGGCCTCCAGGCAAGGCAACAAATATTTTCTTAGTATTAGATGTGTGCCAGGCCTTGTGTTAGGTCCTGGGTACGGTTTTTAGTATAAGTATGGCCCTTTCCTTTGAGGAGCTCACAGAATAGTAGGTTTGTCAGCGTCCAACATGATTCAGCTGGTGGGAGAAGTGTGTACAGAATACAGAGCAGCCCTGTGGGGACAGGGTTGGGCTAGGGTCTTGAAGGATGCTTAGGAGTTTGCCAGGGGATCAGGAGAGTCTGATATGTTTCCAGTAGTATGGAGGTGAGTCCCGCCCCAGGACTCCCTGGCCGTGTTCGGAGGACATGCAGTTTTGCAAGGGTCCATTTGGGGCTCAGGAAGCTCCCTATTCTCCTTGAGTAGGTACAGTGCTGAGAGCTGAGATTTAAGCAAAGGGCAAAGAGGGCTGTGCTGTCCTTCTGTCCTCCCCTGCAGCTCCCATTACCATGCTGGGGGCTGAATGAAACCCAGATTGTTCAGGGCAGCAAAGGTTGGCCCAGAACTGGTGAAGTTCATTATCGAGGAAGCCCAGACTCTAAGCCAGGAGGCCTGGGTCCCTGTCCTGATTCACTGAAAGGTTACCAGTGAGACCTTTCTCCTTTCAAGGTCTCAATTTATCCTCTGTAAAGTGGGGATAGTAATTCCCATCCTAGCCATCAACACAGAGTATTATGTGGATCTAATGAAATAATGGGCATAAATGGGCAGTTTGTCAAGTGATATATACGAATAAAAGGGATAATTATTCTTTAAAAAAATCTGTGCCAATCCTGAGGATAATCTGTGCTCTGATGATTTTAATGCAGTATTTTCCAGCCATTTTTTCCACTGAGACACAAGCCCTGGGCATAGTCTGGGTTTTGCCCAGTGTCTGATATAAAGTCCATCCCTTTCTTTCCTGTTCAGGAAAGGACTTTGGAATGCCAGTGAGTGAGAAAGATGTTAGTGCAGGGATCCCCTTGACTTCTCCCTAATTTAAAAAGAAGGTAAATCATGTGCAAACCTCAGGACTTTAACTTTCACTAATAAAAGCTGATCTCACAGTATCTGTGTCTTGTTAAATAACGGTCAAGTGAGTATCTGCTACGACCACCACAACAAAGACACTTGTGAGCCAACACTGATCGAATTGGCTCACTCTGAGCCAGCCGCTTCTCTGAGACACATTAGCTTCTCTGTTCCTCCTCCCAGTTGTCTGAATTAGGTACTGTTTGTAGATGAGGAAACTGAGCCCCAGAGAGGTTGTATAACTTACCCAAGATCACACAGCCAAGAAGAGATGGATTTGAGATTTGAACCCAGGCTCGAGTGCTGTAGAAATCAGGGGAGGGCCTGGCGCTGGAGGTAGCTCTGGCTCTCACCCCCTGAGTGACCTGGGGAAGGCCACGCCACTCCTCTGGGCACTGGCTCCTTATCCCCAGCGTGTTGAGGCTGTGGTGGTATCTGCTCTACACCAGGCATGGTTGGGCGGGTGGTGGGTTGGCTCCCGTTCCCTGTGCCTGGGAGGTGACTCACATGGCCGCCCGGCCGTCTCTGCCCACTTCAGCAGAGTTCTCTCGCCCAGCCTCGGTCAGTGAGAACCACGACGCAGGACCTGACAGTGACAAGCGGGAGGAGGATGGCGAGTCTGGGGGGCGGCGGTCAGAGGCTGAGGAGGGAGAGGTCAGGACCCCCACCAAGATCAAGGAGTTAAAGGTACGAGCCCCGCTTTCTCGTACCCTCTGACCTGGGCGTCAGGAGGCTGATCCTGGGTCTAGGCTCAGCCTTGACCTTCAGGTGCCCTCAGTGGTGGCCGGGCACCCTTGCTGTGCGGCGCACCATGGACAGGGCCTTGCTCTTGGGCCGTGCTCAATACCTGGAATCCGCGGGTGGGGGTGGGGCACGCTGCCCACCCTGTACCCTTCCTGGTGGACTCTGGCCTCCTCTTGCTCACTTCTAATTTGCCCTTTTGCCTGTGATCTGGATCTGCACAGCCCCCTCTCACCCATGATAGGATGTCCCTGCAGGCCACAAGGGTGAGGTTCAAGTTCCTGCCGCCCGCCCCCATTTCCCACCAACCTGTGCGCACGTTCACGCAGGCCCGCGTGGCCTGAGACTCGCAGGTGTTCACTCACAGACGTGTACCCCCTCGCCCATAGGGTTATGCCCCCAGACGTGCAGACAACGTGCGCACGCACATGGGCATGTGCACACACGGGTGTGCTGGGTTTCCATCATGCACCCCCACCTTGGGAGCACAAGCCCCTGAACACACACTGACAGCAAGAAGCATGACTCTCCAGAACCCCACGTCCCATCTGCCGAGTGTGATGGGCCGCTTTGCCTCCAGGCCTCCCGCCCCCTTCTTCGCCTTCCTGGGCTCCCTGCTTCACGCCCCGTACCTTCTGACGACCTCACTGCCCTGCTGGTGGCCCACCCAGCTTCCCAGAGTGCTCTGGGCTACCTGCTGGACCAGGCCAGTCGCGGTATCTCTAATCCATTTGCTCTACTGACCCTGCTGGTTCCTTTTCCTCCTCCCACGTCCCGCTAGCCGGAGCAGGAAACCACGCCGAGGCACAAGCAGGAGGTACTGCATGGGGCCTGTCCCCACCCACCTAGCCATTCACCCACCCCAGCTCATTTGTCATCACCCCACCATCCATCCCAGGCTCACATCCCAGCACCACCTCAACTTAAGCTTCTCCTCCGCTCCCGGCCATCCTCCTCCCTCACCCAACCCCACCCCCCATCACCCCCTCCCCAACTTAAGCTCATCGAGAGACTCCAGCCCCCCCCAACCAACCACCCATGCTTTCCTCCCTCCCCACCTCTCCCTCCCTTTCCCAGCTTCATGCTCTGCCTCTCCAGACCACGCCGTGCTTGCTTCCCACCCACTGACCATCCCCCACTGTGTCCCCCCGTTCTTCCAGGCCATTCTGTGCTTTCACTGAGCTCATCTCCACCCCATCCCCCACCCCCCCACTCCCACCCCAAAGCCTTCTTTTGACTCTTCTCCTCCCTGTACCACTGTCTTGTCATGCCTCCGCATCTGTGTCCCCTGTGTCCCCCCCACCAAGCTTCTTTTTGTATCTATGGGCAACCAGATGTGGGAGTGGGGGGGTTGTGGGGAGGGAGGGGCCTCAGAGCACATCTGTCTTCTCAGCCCCAGGTGCACCTCCCGCGGGCGGGGCCCCTGCTGCTCCAGCTCTGCCAGGAAAGCCTCCTCCTCCCGTTTGCTGCTTCTCTCAACACCCTCATCCTGTGCTAACCACTCCTCCTTCCCTTTCACATAGTGTCCAACTCTTCCTTTGATACTTAACTGCAGGAGAAGTGGGTCTGTTCTTGGGCTGCTGAGGGAAAGGCCAGAGGCTGGGGCGTCAGAAAGGCCTGGCTCTTGGGTTTCAGCCCCAGTTCTGCCACTGACTCTTTGAGGGTCTTGGTAAAGTCCCCTCAGGCCCCAGTCCCCCATCTGCACAGCAAGGCATTTGGACTAGGTTTCCCCCAGGCCCCTATCCTTCAAGGATCCACTGCTCCCTTCAGCCTTGGGGAACACCACATGCTCACAGGACCAGTGTGGCAGGTTCAAGATGGAAGGTCACCAGCCACGTCTTAGGTCTGTGGCGGCCCAAACCCACCTGCCTGTGCACCCTCTATCGGGTTTGATTTCTCAGACAGACGTTGTCCTGAGACAGCTGCTCAGGAAGGGATGCAGGCGGTACAGACAGATGACTAGAGGGAAAGCAGAGCCTCAGTGGCATCGGTTTCCTTCCTTAGTTAACTTAGGAGTCAATCATAGTGGCTCCTCGGATGCCAGAGATAAGCCCAGGGGAACTCTAGCCTTGTCCAAGGGCAAGCCTGCCTTCCAAGTAGTTGTTCCAGAATCACTGATCTGACTTTATAATGAGCTGAGGTTGTCTATTTCTTGTCCTGAGTCCTCAAACAGCTTTGCAGATAAGGGTCCTTGGGCTGCCAGCGCACCTGCCCTGCCTCCAAAAGTAGGCAGACTACTGCTGTTTCCTGTGCAAAGGCTGGTCCTCACTTGACCTAAGGGCAAGGGTACCTCTGTACTGCCCAGAGCTCCGACTTGGCAATTTAATAGCGACACTTCTATGACTCCAGCTGTACCTGGCTCGGTTCTTGTGTCCAGCCTTGGGACTTACCTCCCTTCTTCCTGGTCTCTAATTCTAATCTTCCTGAACACCCCACAGAGCCCTAGTGTCTCTGTCTGGCTGTATCTCACCCTGTCTGCCCTTGAGGAGTTGGTACCCACAAGGAATCTGGAAGATCCTGGGTGGTTGGGGAAGGTAGTGGCTCACGGCAGAGAACGCTAAACATCATCTCTTCCTGGGCCCTGGTGTGGAAGCAGGGCACATTTCTCTGGATGCCCTTGGATTTAGAAGAGCCCTACGGGGCCTGAGCAGTGGCACACGTTGGGCTAGGAGGGGCCTAGACCGAGGATCCTGCTAAGCACAGTGGTCCAAGTCGTGGCCAGAGGTAGGCGCCAGGATCCAGGAGGCCAAGCGGTGGGCCAGAGCAGCCCAGTGAACGGGACTGGTGATTTCTCACTGTGCTTTGGTTGTAACCAGAGGGAAGTCACCTCTGCGCCTTGTGAAACTAAAGGGAACTTACCCAGACCTGTGGGATTTGGGTTGACTTAGGTGTTCCAAGACCAGGAGCCAGGCAGGGGAGAAGAAAAGATGGTACTTGGCCAGAAGTCTCCTCTTCTTAACCTCAAGTGCTTTTTGCTCTTCTCTTTAATCTTGAGTGGTTTGTGTACCTGTTGGGGCTAGTCATCCCTGCCCTGCTTGGCTTATGGGACGCTGTGAGGGTGAGACAGGGCCGTGGATGGGAATCACCTTGCTGATGTAGGGTGGTGATGGGGACCATTACCATTTTCACCACGCCTTGCATCCTCTTCTTGGAGCTGTTCCTCTGATACCTGACTGTCCTCTCTGTACACCCCAGTTCTTAGACAAGCCAGAGGATGTCTTGCTGAAGCACCAGGCCAGCATCAACGAGCTCAAGAGGACCTTGAAGGAACCCAACAGCAAACTGATCCACCGGGACCGAGACTGGGAGCGGGAACGCAGGCTACCCTCCTCTCCCGCCTCCCCCTCCCCCAAGGGCACCCCTGAGAAGGTCAATGAGGTAGGTCTCACCCGAACCCCTCACCTGGGGCCTTGGGTAAAGACGGTGGGGAAGGTTGCTATGTACTGACTTACCCTCCCCCTCCACGCCCCGTTGCTGCGTAAGGTGAAGGTGGTGATGGAGATAGGGCAGCAGGTTAAGCTGAGGAAGACAAATTCACTCACTCTTGGAACCCTGGGCCCCAGGGACCACCTTGAAAAACTCAGAAGACTCACCGTAGCATGGTGTATTTCCCTTCCATCAGCCAGGGTGTAATGGGGAAAGGGTGCTGGTTAGAAATGCAGGTTCTGGGGCCCCAACTCGGACCTACTGAATCAGAGTATTTGGAGGTAGAGCCCTGGAATCAGTATTTTAAACAAGTGCCCCAGGTGATTCTCACACACACAAAATTTTAAGAATCCTGGTAGTTCTGTCCAGTAACCAGACCCTTTTGTGCCTATTGTGAAAACACAGATGGTGGGAGGGTTCCTTCCTAGGAAGATCCTCAGAGCCCACCAGAAGGGAACAGATCCTCTAGGAAAGTCAGAGCTGTTCCTGGTGCTCCAGAAAAAGATCCCACATGACCTGTCTTTCAGAGTAGAAAGCATGGGGTGTTTTCTCATTGAAAAAGAGAAAGATAGGATCTTGAGAATTCCTGTATTTATAATCCCAAGCTGGTATTTTTAGCACTGCTAAATCTTGGCACTCTTTACCCCCGTTTTTTGTTTGTTTGTTTGTTTGTTTTGTTTGTTTGTTTTTTGCGGTACGTGGGCCTCTCACTGTTGTGGCCTCACCCGTTGCGGAGCAACAGGCTCCGGACGCGCAGGCTCAGCGGCCATGGCTCATGGGCCCAGCCGCTCCGCGGCATGTGGGATCCTCCCGGACCGGGGCACGAACCCGTGTCCCCTGCGTCGGCAGGCGGACTCTCAACCACTGCGCCACCAGGGAAGCCCAGCCCCCGTTTATATTAGGTGTTTTCTCTTCAGTGCTGCTGCTTCCTGGTCCTAAACCCTTCTGAGGTCTAGCCTTACAGTGCCTGGGTTTGAATTCCGGCCCTGCTGCCTGCTAGCTGGATGACTGTGGGCTTGTTACTTAACCCCTCTGAGCCTCCGTTAGGTAGAGATAATAAAAGCACCTAGTTCCCAGGACTGTTGTGAGCATCCAATGAGATAAAACATGGAGGGGGCAGCAGAAGACCTAGATGCTCAATGTGAGTTACTTATTGTTTCATTTGGAGAGCCTTGGAACTCTCCCACAGAAGGTTAATTTCAAAGCAGAATCCTTTTTAAAGTTGGGAAGGACCCTCGGAACCCAGTTGGCTCGAGGTCCTCATTTTACACATGGGCACGGAAGCTCAGGAAGGGGAAGGACTTGATCAGTGTCATAGCTGATAGAAGACGGGCCAGAATCTAATGTTCTTATGTCCCAGGCCACTGTATTTGCTATTAAATCACAGCTGCCTGGGAGCAAGACCAAATCATATGAAGCTCAGGAGACAGTCAATTGTGCCTCTGCTGCCCTTTAGAGCTTTGAAAACTGATGATGCAGCTGTGATCTAATAAGTGAGCCTTTGATTGAATCAGCACTCCCGTGGCCTCAACATGCCGGGTACCAGGGCCTTGTCTAGCGAGGCTGCTGTGGTAGCTCCTTGGCCGGTGATTCACGACGTCAGGGATGCCATGGGGGCCTCTATGGCTGGTGCCATGGAAGGAGGGCAAATCTCTTCACCCACTGAGGGCTTCTGTGGTCACCGCTGGCACAATCAAGACACTGAAGACCCTGGATGGGGCCATGGGGCTGGTCTAGTGATCCAGTTACACACGCCCCTCCTCCTGCCCCGAGAGACGCTTGACCAGAGTGGCCTCTAGTCAGTCCTGAAGTCGGTGAGGCGGATGTAGAGGCTTCCAAAGGGGTCAGACTCCAGCAGAGAAAGGAAGGCTGGGCCCTGGAGGACTGGACTCCTGGGAGCTGAGATGCTCTGAGCAGCCTGGCATGGGGGTGCCCCACCTGCTGGTGATAGCTGGAACTGCCAGAAGATGCGTCTCATTAAAAGGTGGAGTCTGTTCCACCTCCCATCCCCCCTACTGCCTCCCCGCAAGAAGTGTAGTCCATTGCTGGAGAGAAGTCTGGTCCAGGAGCTCACCTTGGAGCGATGGACCTTTTAACTGGCTTACAGGTCCCACTGGCATTTAGAGGCTCTTGAAAATTTGGGAGATGAGAGGAGCTGTCGCCAAGGACTGGACTGGGTCCTTGGGTGAGTGACATCACTTCTTGGAAGCCTCACTGCCTTGTCAGTCTATCTAAAAGGGGACCAAAATTGCCACTCCACAGTGCTGTGGGGAAGGTCGAGTGAAATAATGGATATAAAATCACTTTATAAACTGGAAAGTGCTGGACAGTCCTGGGGCCACTGCTGATGGTAACTGGAATCCCTTATTCAAATATGGGCTCTCATGGCGTGGCTCCTTCCTGACCTAAAGATGCGGGATTTACAAAGCTGGGCTACTCACGGACTCTGTGTGTGTGTCTCTCTCCTGCTTTCTGTCCCTCCCTCTCTGTCTCTCCTTCCCTTCCTCCCTCTTCCCCTCTCCTCCGGCCCTGGGCCTCCCCTGCAGTCCCAGAGGACCCAGGACACCTCTCAGCAGGACTTGGCACCTGAGCCTGGGACGGCCACAGGCTTGGAAGTGTTCACTCAGAAAAGCCTCGCAGCATCTCCTGAGGTTACTGTCGTCACCTCCCCACCCACCCAGAACCACCCTAATAATCTTAAGAAAACCCTTTCTCTGGGCTGAGGGGGTGGGCCAGACTCTGCCTTGCAGGTGGGAGCAGTGGGTAGCTCATGTTGGCCCCATGCTGTGACAAGTGAGCGTCCCCTGTCCCAGGGGTCCATAATGGGCCAGCCCGTCCCTCATCCATGGTTTCTCAGGAAGGATAGGACTGAAACCATTCAAGGAAGACGGAATGGTCTGAGTCGCCTCTGGCTTAAAACGGGCAGGTAGAAATGACCTCTCAGGCCCCGCTGAGGCAGGTGACCTGGAGGCAGGTTCTGACTGCTAAGCTTGGGATCAGGGATCATGGCACCTAAATACCTCTGCTCTGAGGTCTTGTCTCTGTTCAGAAGCCTGAGTAAGGTCTAGCAGTGACTAATTAGCCCCTCCATCCCCTGCTTCCATTCTCTAAACTCCCCTTGGAGTTTGGGTCTGTCAGGGTCCCCAGGCAGGCAAAAGTGGGTGTGTTTCACCAGGGAGCATCCTTGGGGTTGTACAGATGTCGGTCCGGCAAGCATTCTAAATGAGGAGAGCATCACTTCTCTGCCCAGGATGGCAGTAGGCCGAGGGTCCTCGGAACTTCCTGTGCCCCTGCGTGGATGCCGGGTGGAATCCAGGCCCAGGAGCAGGGGGCTGCATCCTCCCTCTTTGCTGGGACTTCATAGACCGTCGGGATTGGAAGGGACCGATTGATCATCTGGGTGAAAATTCCTTCCCTCTGATAACCAACCCTCCTCTGTTGGCATAGTGTGTAAGAGGGCATATACCGTTCTCCATTCCCAGAGAAAAATTTTGTAGCTGCTAGAAACGTCCTGAAACTGTAAGAGAGCCGTGAGTCAGCTACGTAAGTGGTAAAACATAAATCACAGTTCTACTCTGCATTTTTCCTAAATGTAAAATTAAAAACAAAGCTAGGAGCACTCTTGAGAGAAGTTGGACAGGAGTCAGCAGCATCCCCAGGTTAGGGAAGCAGTGGTGCCTTGGAGCACAGAGATTTGCATAGAGCCAAGCACAGGTGCCCTAACTTGGGGGGTTGCAGGATTGGGAGGGCAACATGCGCCCTTCACCAGCATCCCTGAAAATTATCCGTCCAGCCTGTTCCACAAGGGGGCTCTCCCTGTTCTTAACAGCAGTCCATTTTGTCTTCTTCAGTCATGTGTTGGGAAGTTTCCATATTGAATTATAACCTGCCCTTCCGAATCACCTGCCTGTGGGCCTCGCTCTGCCCCCTGGCGCCTGTAGTCCCAGTCTGCATCCTCCTCCAGGAAGGCCCTTCAGAGTTCAGCGTCCCCCCTGCCCCCCAACTACCACTTTCTTCCGCAGCTTCTCCCGTGGGTTCTAGAGGGCTCCTTGTCCTGGACCCCTTCCTCTGGGGGTCTCCTGTAAAGAGCAGGGCCCAAAATGTAACCCAGAGCTCCAGGTGGACCCTGAACAGCCCGGGTCAGCAGAATCCTGGCTGGAGATTTTCTTCCTGTCAGCTTGTGTGGGAACAGAACTGGCCCCACTCCAGCTCCCAGCTCCCGTTTTGCGGCCAGTCTTGCTGCAGTGGCTCCAGCTGACAGCAGGGGGTGCTCTGAGCAGGCACTGAAGGTCCCCTGGCTCAGTGGAAAGAATGGCCCGGTGGCTTCCCTGACATCTTTTATCCTGTGAATTGGGTCAGAGAGCCAAAGCTTTCCTCTCTTTGTTCAGGCTCTTTCTCTCTTCAGGATTTTTACTTGTTAGATGCAGAGCCTCTTCTTCCCTCTGGGAGCCTCAGTTTCCCCTTCTGAAATGAGGGTAACAGGACCTGCTTCACAGGTCGCCATTTGGATTAAAGTTAATAACTTCTCCAAAGGGCTGACACTGCCTGGCACATAGTAACTAAATATAAGTACATGTTTCCCTTTTTCTTTCTGCAGAAACTTTCTGTTCTGTGCCAGCTCCCACCCCACTCAACCTAGTTTCTAAGCTTCTGGTTGCTAGAAACTAGTTTCTAGTTAGACGTGGGCAGGAATGTTCCACAAGGGGTCTCATGGACCATCTTTGGCCATCCTTGCCAGGCTGATGGTGTCAGTACAAGCTGAAATGGGAGCAGCTAAAGGCGCCTGCTTCCCAAGTAGAAGAGAAAGGAGGCTTTGTAGGCTCTCAGAACTCTTCCCTCTGGGATGGTTCCAGTGTTGTTGTCCTGAAAGCTTAACAACCTGAAGTAGAATCTCCGAAACCCACGCAGGTTTTGTCTGGGCCTCCCCCCTTCCTTTTCTCTCTCTTTCCTGTTGGCAAGATTCTCTTAATGAGGTTTGATTCCCTGACAATCATGGAGATTTTGCTAAAATGGAGCAGGGGGAGGGGTGGGGGAGGTCAGAGGGCTTATAATGCTCCCTTGAGTCTTCAGAATCCTTCAGATCTTCTGGGATCTGACAGACTCCTCACCAGGTCATAACCTGCATTGGAGCCCAAGCGCATGGGAACCTGCCCCCTGCTGCAGTCAGGAGCAGTTTTCGGCACATCTTACCGTGGAGCTTTTCACAGGACACAGGATCAGAGACCAGGTTCTAGGCCTGCCTTTGCCACTGGCTCACTCTCTGACCTTGGGCACGGTGCTTACTTCCCCAGCCCTCAGTTTCCACATCTGTGCCATGAGGGACTTGGGTCAGAGCAGTGGTTTCAAAGGAGGGAGGCACTTTGGGGCACTAGGGCAGCCCAGGCCTCCAACTTCCACGGGGCGGGGGGCGGCCCTGTATCTGTGTTACACATTGGATTGCCATCAAGATTTTGTGTGAAGAAGGTATTCTGTAGTTTCGAGAAGATTTGAATCCCATGGGCCTTCTCGCATTGTTGCTGTTGTTTGCACCTCGCGGCTTGCAGGGTCTTAGGTCCCCAACCAGGGACCAAACTCGGGCCCCCGGCAGTGAAAGCACCGGGTCCTAACCACTGGACCACCAGGGAATTCCTGGCCTTCTTGCTTTTTGAACAATTCTAGAAGTCCATCCTTCCCTCCTAAGTGTTGCTTGAAAAACTCTAGGGGAGGTAGAGGGCTGTTTTGCTGATGGTTGACAGTGCTGTCCTCTCAGTGCTGTGGACCAGTGATGATGCTTAGATATTTAGATCTTTACCTTCTATGATATGTTCAGGTCAGTCCTCTTCCAGTCTTTCTGTGGATTTTGTTAGAATTCTCCAAGAACAGGCCTTGGTATTTGTTTCTTTGGGAATGAACCCCACAGAGTTCAAGCTGTTTCAGCCACTGCAGCGACTGGCACTAACCTCTAGAGCTGGTCGTTTGGTATATTTTGGTCTAATCTCTTTCCTTCCAATTAGCACTTGCAGAAAGGTCCGATTTCAGGCTGTGGCCTGTGAAACTTAACTCAGTGCCTCCCCGACAACTCGACATTAGATCGCAGTTGGGACCCATATTCCATTGGCTGTAAGTCAGCAAGGCTCTCAGGCATTCTTTTCCTGACTCGACTGACTGTGACCTTGAAAAAGTCACTGACCTTCTCTTGGCCTCAGTTTACCCATTTGCACAAGTAGGAGATTGGACTGCAGGAAGTCTTAGGAGTTCTTTTGGCTCTAGCCTTCAAAGATTCCATGTGATGTAAGCTACTTTCCCCTCTGACACTGGCAGCTCTATTATTAAAAGAGGAAGAGTCCTGGACCATCTGTGGATTTCCATGCCCCGATGGTTAACACGGGGAGGGTATGAGACCGCATCCCATTTTACCCGGTTAGGGTGGTGGTTGAGGGCAACAGTAGATAATTTGTTGGGTGCCTTGATGGGAAGAGTAGCCTTGATGAGGCTGACCTGCCTTCCTGTCCCCAGCCAGCTGACCTTGACCAAGGGGGCAGGTGGACCTTGGTCCCTTCTTGCGGAGGGAAAAAGTGAACCCATTCTTAAGGTGCCTGATATTTCATGTTAACTCTTCTTGCTCCAATTAAAACGCAGGGTTCAGAGCATTGGGTATTTATAGAAAGAGAGTACATTAGGCCAGAAGAACTCAGTCTCCTAAAAGTGACCGCCACACAGCAGGAAGAAAGGGAGGCAGGCCTCGCAGACATGCTTGCTGACGGCAGACTCTCCAAGGTAGACGTCCTGGTGGACAAGTTCACCTTTCAAATGGCCACAGAAGAAAAGGTGGGAGCCAAAGGAGCAAACACACAGCGACAAGGAAGAATGATCACGAGCCCTGAAGGCTTCAAGTCAGTGTGGGAGGAAAGCCCCTGGGTCAGGGAAGGCCCAGGAGGGGCTTCTCTGGCTGCAGGCCGCACGCTGGCAGGAACGCTCCCAGAGGGCTCCTGGTTCAGGGTGGACCCTGGGGAGGCAACCATCAGGAAGCAGCGGGCCTCCAGGGATCAGCTGGAGGGCCCGGCAGAGCTAAGGCAGAAGTGGGAGGAGTTCCAGGCTTGCGGAAGACCCGCCGCCCCGGCCACTGGCCCTGCAGAGGTGGATGTCGCCTCTCCAGCCTCCGACACGGGAGGACTCCGGTCGTTTCTGCTGGACCCAGCCTACACAGAAGCCAGAGCCGACTCGAGCGATGAAACCGACACTTCCTTTGCAGAGAGAAGCTTCTATTTAAACTATGGAGAGAAAGAGTCTGAAGACCAAGTCCTCCCTCCGGCCCTGGAGGAGAGAGAGGAGCACTTAGATGCCCCACCTGGCTGCGAGAGCAGGCGGAAGCTGTCGGAGGAGCTCACGGAGACCTCAGAGCTGGACTCCTCAGGCCCATGGGGCTCTGCTGCCACTGTCGGCAGAAACAAGCACCACGAGGGTGAAGCCCACTCAGCTTCCTCAGAGGGAGGGGCGGGGCCCCCCAGGAACCAAGGACCAGATGACCTGGAGGTCTTTGTCAAGCAGCTTGGAAAGGGACCTTCTCCAGGGCTGATGTTTGCTGAGTACGAAGCCCGGTGGGAGGTGGAAGGAGAGTCTACCCACCCAGCATCCTCAGTAGCTGCAGAGGAAGAGGCCCCCCAGAGTGGAGATTTGATGGGAAAGGCTGAGAAAAGTCCCCCAGGAGAATGGAACCACTCACCTCACAGAGGAGGGGGCATGCGTCCAGACAGCCAGGCCTGTGTCCTTCCGTGGGCCATCCCTCCTAGCGATGTCAGGAAGCCAGCCAAGCCGGACAGAGGCAACTTCCTGCCCAGAGAGAGGGGACCAGTTCACACCCAAACAGGAGAACCTGTGACAGAGGACAGCAAGGCCCCAGCGTTTCTTCAGATGGAGGAGGTGATCACCCCCCTCCCAACCTCGCCCCGTCCCTTTGCGGCTCAGACGTCTCCAGAGGAAGCTTCTTCAAGCCCAGCCCCTTATGGGTCGGGGGAGCCTGTGCAGCTCAGGGACCGCTTTGGAGAACAGTCCGCCATATTTCTCAAACATGCCCATCCTCCTAAAGAGAGCCCGGAGCCCAAGGACCGAGTAGGGCTGGCTGTGACCCCAGACGGAGGTGAGCGCAGGGCCCCTCCCATCGCCAGCAGGAAGCCCAGAGTTGTCCCTGAAGAAGCCCAGGGGTTGCGGTTCCCTTCAGGGAAGCAAAAGGAGATGACCTCTTTCCAGGCTGGGGGTCAAGAGGGCTCCCTGGAAGATATTAGCAAGACCTCTGTGGCCAACAAGATTCGGATCTTTGAGACCCACGGAGCTGAAACTCGCTGGGCGAGTCAGGGTGAAACCAGGGCCTTTGCAAACGAGTTGTCTTCGGAGGCCTCTGTGGGGCAGGTCGAGCAACAGCGGAGTAGGCGTTTAGACCTGGGATTTGCTCAGTTTCAGCTCCCAGAGGACTTTGCTGCCCCCAAAGCCACACATTCCTCCATGATGCCGCCAGCTACCAGACACTTCTGGGAGGGCATTTCTACCCCATCCCCCCGGGAAGGATGCATGGACGTCGAGCTCGTGTCCCCCAGTCCAGGCTGCGAAACTACACTGGAGGAAGCTACTGGGGGAACTGGCCACGTGAGCCCCCGCCCCCATGCTGCCCCCAGCCCGGGAGCTGACCGCATGCCGCGTAGTTCTTTAAAAGCATGTTTCTGTGGCCCCTCGTCATTACTGCCACCAGAGGCTGCTTGTCCATCCCTATGAGTTCTTTTCCCTAAACGGGCCTGAGCGTAGCCCAGGCGGAATGACGGGTTCATCTGCTTGGCCCATGTTAGCTTAGCCACACAGACCCTCGGCTTTTGGTGTGACCTGGTGCCCGGAGGGTCACACAGCGCCGGTGGAGGAAGTGGCACCGCCTCCAGCAAACTACACATTTGCTTTGCCTTGCTGCCCGCACCTGCTGGGTTCCTACCGTTTTGCTTGGCTTGTCCAACGATCTTCCTTCATCCTTTCCCTTCCCTGGTGCTCCTGCCTTGGGGAAGCTGACAGTCCAGAGGTTTCCATCCTTCACTTCCGGCTCCCTCTCGGTCCTAGTGCCAAGTTCCTTTCTGCCTCCTTAAGACTAACTGTCTTCTCTAATCCAGAACAAATCCGGAGACGCGGTCAGGCAAGAGAAGCACGTTACCAGCTTAGCAGCGAATCCCCCAGGAAAGGGGGGGCACCTGAGATTCACCAGCCCCTCAGGCCCGCAGGTCTCTGCAGCCCCTCGGTGCCCTGATGACCTGGTCATCTTCGCCTGGCCAGGGTGCATCGCTGCCTTAGATCCCCACCTGCTCTGGCAGCGCCTCTTGTGGCAGCTCAACTCTGGCTTGTCTGGAATGAGTCCTCACACCTCTCAACCTTCCGGAAGCTGGCTAAAGCGAGGCTTGTCTAGCAAGTGAATCTCTAAGTGCACCGAGTCTCTGGAGCCTGAAGCCAAGTACTTTAAAAATATTGGGTGGGGCTTAGATTGGTCTTAAAAAAGAATGTCGTAAAACAGCCAAAAATGTGTGTGGTGTTTAATCCCTGACAGGCCAGTTGAGAGGTATGTATGTCGGACAAGAGTTGCTGGTCCCCCTCCAGCACTTCCTTGGCCTGCTGTTGTCAATTACACTGATGGGAGCAGAACCTCCACTCACGGAGCTCGGGGTTGAAGTGATGTAGCGCCCAGCTCCCACGAATTACCCGGTGTTGCTCCTCCCTCTAGACGATGCTGACCCCTCCCACGGAGACTCAGTGGAATTGACAAACCGTGTTGGCTTCCTCTTTGTTCCTCAAAGCTCTTGGCTCCAGCCTCTCTGCCTCCCTGTCCTGGGTGGTCCTGAATCCCTGGGTCTCCCTCCTTGGTTTTTGCCTCCTTGATGTCCGCCTGCACGGATGGGCCTGGGGTCCGGGCTCCCATCCCTGCCTTGTGCGCAGTGCCGCTTCTGATAAGCTCCCAGATCCAAACCTTGGATGGGGCCTCCTGTCCAGGACCAACTGGCAGGATGTTTGCTTTGTACTTGCTTCTGCCGTCAGCCGGAGACCCTCGGAAAGGAGTGCCCTCGCTCTTGAGAAGTGTTCTTTTTTTTTTTTTTAACCTTATTATGGTGTCAAAGAACCTTTCCGGGGGTGTTTTTCTTTTCCTGACCTCCTCTTCCATTTGGGGCATCGAATGGCCCCGAGATTTCTTCTGTCATTCACCATCTTGATTTCTCTCTTTCTCTCTCTCTCTCCCCACATCCCACACCCCCATTCCTTTGATTTTACCTGGCCATAGAGAGCAGGGCTGAGGGAGGGCTCCGAGGAGAAAGTCAAACCGCCACGGCCCAGGGCCCCAGAGAGTGACACGGGAGACGAGGACCAGGACCAGGAGAGGGACGCGGTGTTCCTGAAGGACAACCACCTGGCCATTGAGCGGAAGTGCTCCAGCATCACGGTCAGCTCCACGTCCAGCCTGGAGGCCGAGGTTGACTTCACGGTCATCGGCGACTACCACGGCAGCGCCTTCGAAGACTTCTCCCGCAGCCTGCCTGAGCTTGACCGAGACAAAAGTGACTCAGAAACCGAGGGCCTGGTGTTCTCCCGGGATCTCAACAAACGGGGCCCGAGCCAGGATGACGAGTCTGGGGGCATCGAGGACAGCCCAGACCGACGGGCCTGCTCCACCCCGGATATGCCCCAGTTCGAGGTACAGTGGAGCATCATCGGGACCCGGGCCCACCGGGCACTGCATGTTCAGAGGGCCCTGGGCCATGTGTGAGAAGACTGAGCCACCAGCCTGAAGCTCTGTTCCGTGTTGCATGACCGCCCCTCCGCAGAACAGCATGGTTCTGTGCTCGCATGTTCGGCAGCTCGGTTTACCCCTAACGTGCACTCCTGGGCGCTTTAACCCTGTGACCCCGTCTCTTGCCTGAGGTCAAGTGATGACAGGCAGTCTGGTCCTACGCGACTCCTCCTCCCCCTGTCTGTGTTGCATGGCACCTGCAGAGACCGTGTGCTTGTGGACTCACGGGGGCGCCTGCCGCCTGCTCTGAAAGCCAGATGGTGTTTTCTGATCGCGGCCCTGGCTCCCCTCCCCAGGGCCTGGGGTCTTGGGGTAGTGGTGGAAGCTCTTAGAGAAGAGGAACCGTCATCACCTGGGGGGACACGGGTAGACTGCGTCTGGGCGTCTCTGCTCCCTGTCCTTCTTTCAGAGGATCTTTGATCACATTTTTCCTTCGCTCTCCCACCTCTTCCAGCCCCAGCTCCCTCCCACGTTCCAGGCATTGAAACAGGAGCTCGTCTACTCTGGGCTTTCACTCCATGCTATACCCTCTGGAGAAGGTGTCTCCTCCCTTTCTCTGCCTTGCAAACTTGTCACGTTCCAGGGCCAAGTTCAGATAGCACTTACCTAGCAAACGCTTTCCTGACAACCCTGGGCAGAAGTGTTGCTCCCTGCTCCGCCCCCTTGCTCTGCAATGCTTCTGCTTCCAGCGGTATCACAAGTAGTCAGGTTACTGGCTGACAGGTCTGCTTTCCTACCAGGTGGCAGCTCCACTAAGCTTGTACGTTCCAGGCACTAATGATTAACTGAATGAACGGCTAGATCTCCGAGTTACAACCATCTAGAAGAATCCCCTCTTAACCACCCTCCCAACAAGCTAACTTTCATTCATTTATTCAGCTCACATATGTTAGCACCTGCTGTGTGTATAGCCATGAACTAGGTTCTGTGGAGGACTCAGAAGAAACTAATCATTTAACATAAGACTTCTAGAGGAGGCGTGGGAAACTGGTGGCCCTGGGCCAAATCTGGCTAGCAGATGTGTTTTCTTTGACTTTGATTTAAAAATCAGGACACTGAATATAAAATCCAGGGATTTTTTTTTATATCATTAAAAAACAAAAATCAGATGATCCGGTCACTCAGGCCAAACCTGAGTGGACCCCATGTGCTCTCCAGTTCACCCCGGTCCTCAACAAGCCCGCTTCACTCGTTTACATCTCCTGCCTGGCCCCCCCCGGGCCTCCAGGTGTGACTCCTACTCTTAAGAACGGTTCAGAGAAAGCAGCTGGGAGGTGGTGGCATAACCATTGAAGTCATTCAGGACTGTGTATTATCAGGAAAATGCTGAGTGTGTGGCACGGCATAGAGCATGTTAATTGAATGGTGAGTGTTCTCTTAATGGTAGCCTGAAACCCAGCATGCAGCCACCATGAGGTGGTATGGTGGCAGGGTCATGGGCAGGCTGTCCTGGCGCTGCTGGTGGTTCTGGCTCCCCTCTTGGGCTGTTTGTCTGTGACATCATACCAGGCCTCTTTGGCCCTGGCCTTCGACCCCCTCTGGAGACTTGGTCAGCGGCAGTGGTGGGAGATAGCTTGCTGACCCCGCGCCGCAGTTGCCTGTGAGTAGGAGTCGTGCCGGGGCTTGAGATACAGAGTGTTCTTCCCTCATCTGCCTACAGCCTGTGAAAACGGAAACCATGACAGTCAGCAGCCTGGCTATCAGGAAGAAGATCGAGCCGGAGGCTGTACTGCAGACCAGAGTTGCCACTGTGGACACCACCCAGGTAACCTGTGCCTTCCTGTGCACGCTGGGCCTAGGTACTGGGCATTTAAGGGTGGGGTCTCCGTCATGGCCAAGCCCCTTGGCCAGCTCTTGCTACCTTGGCTCCCCCGGAGCCACCATTTTAACCCTGATGCTCTTCTGAGCTTCATTGTCCTCCCTGAGCTCCGGGTGTGGGTGGTGGGATGGGTTCTTATCCTGGGCAGACTACACCTCTTAAAGCCTCAATTTTCCCATCTGTAAAATGGGGAGGCTCACGTCTCCTTCATCCTCCTGGGAGTGTTCTAAGGACTAGCGGTTAGCGGATTAGACCATGGCTTTCAGATCGCTTGAAGGAGGTGGAGAGGGTTCTTAAGATATCCCAGGGGAAGAGGAGAGAGAACCCAATTCAGCTTGGGTCAGAGCAGCTCACATTGGATCATTTTCGTGTGTGTGCACGGAGGTTCCACATCACGTTGACAAAATGAACAAACTGGAAAAAAAAGATAAAATGTCATTTGTCTTAGCAAGATGAAACATACTCAGTCCCCCGGAGACGCTGTTGTAAATAGACACGGGTGCATCATTACAGTGCATTTCCCAAGTTCCTTTTGTGGTTTTTAAGCTTTGAAAATGGAGACTAAGGGTCTGATAGATGCCCTCTTGGTTCTTTCTGGCCAGAGGAACCGCAGTGCTGGGGACTTTTTTGCCCTGGAGACCAGCCTTTGTCTTAAGAACTAAGGAAAGATGTAAATCTACAAAATGTGGGCAACTCTGTCGTTTCCAGACTTTTTTCTCTCACTTTTATAACATGCATAGAGGTTTATGAGGCTGCTAGTGCAGCTGTCGAGACTCTTGAGTTCTGACAAGCTGTGTGACCCCGGGGCAACTTACTCCCTCTCTGATCTATTTTGTTTTAGTAATGTGTGTTGGGTTTGTTTTTATACAAAGAAATACAAAGAAAACTAAAAATGGCCCCAAATTTTACAGCTCAGTAACCCCTATTGACATCAAAACAAAATAACAACAAAATATTCACAGTTATGAAATTCAAACAGAACAAAATGAATTTTTTTCTGAGTGCTCCCAGAAAAAAAAATATATGCATATACCAACATACGTTCTTATATCTCTAGGTATTTAAATTTTTTACACAAAAGAGATCATTCTCTTTTACACTTTACCTTTTTTCCTTTTTTTTAATAAATTTATTTATTTTATTTTTGGCTGCGTTGGGTCTATGTTGCTGCGCACGGGCTTTCTCTAGTTGCGGCGATTGAGGGCTACTCCTCGTTGCGGTGCACGGGCTTCTCATCGCAGAGGCTTCTCTTGTTGCGGAGCACAAGCTCTATGCGCACGGACTTCGGTAGTTGAGGCATGCGGTCTCAGTAGTTGTGGCTCGCGGGCTCTAGAGCCCAGGCTTAGTAGGTGTGGCGCACAGGTTTAGCTGCTCCACGTCATGTGGGATCTTCCTGGACCAGGGATCGAACCCGTGTACCCTGCGTTGGCAGGCGGATTCTTAACCACTGCGCCACCAGGGAAATCCCTACCTTTTTTTTTTTTAATACTTACCTTGCAGATCACTCCATGTTGGCACATGTGGCCCCACCTCACTCTCCTTGTTCCCCCTTAGGAGTGGATCCTGATTTAGCATGCCTTTATCACCTGTCAATGGACCTGTGATGGTTTTTGTCTTTTGCAGTTAATGTTGAATGCTGCAGTGAACTTTGTTGTTCAGACTTCCTGGCGAAATTTTCAAAGTTTATGCCTGAAGGGTGAATCCCTAGCAATGGGCTCGCCCAGTCAAAGAATACAGGCATTGAAATTTGGATAGGATGTATCAAATTATATGGGATTATTTTCCCTTTGTGAAATAAAATGATTGGAATGAGCTGGAGGACCTGTGAGACCCCTTTGAAGTTTGGTCTGTGTGTGGACGCACCTCCTCCCCAAGTGTACGTCTGCTCACGCTGCCCGTCACTTGGTACCTGGGGATGCCACGAGCCCAGGTGGCAGACGTTGCAGGCGTATCTGGCACTCTCTCTCTCTCTCCCCTCTCTAACGACTCCTCCTCTGGCCAGCAGGTTGACGGGACTGCCCCAGGGGGGAAGGAGTTCATAACAACTACTCCCTCCATCACCACAGAGACCATATCAACCACCATGGTAAGTAGGACCCGAGACCTCCCTCTCTGACCAGCCCCATTGGCCCTGAAACGGCCAGATAACAAGCTAACCTCGCCAGCTATGGCAGGAAGTCCTCATCCGCCCTCACAGCATCAGGTGTGGCACACACAGTCAGACTTTCATTGTCTGACACACAGTCCAACTTTTATTGACTGGCCACAGGGCATCCAGTCAGACCTCAGTTTTGCAAACTGAATAATGTAGGAGGTGGCATCCCTGAGTCTCAGTCATCTGGACCATCTCAGCCTCGGCAGGGATAAAGAGAGGACGGTACTATTTGATTAACTGACTGTCGGCAACACAGGAGGATTGTGCCTGAAAGTCCTCCCTGAGTGAGGTCCCTCCTCCTGGCAGCCATGGCTCAGGATTTGGGACTGTGTCCTGAGGGACCCTGTGGTTCTGCTACCTATTTGCTGCCTGACCCATGAAGGAAGGTCTTTAGGTGTCCTCATCTATAAAATGGGAGTACTCCCATTCTGCCTGGTTCACGGGCTCTTAAGAGAGTTCAGTAACATCAGATTCTTCAAATGATGACACAGCACAGCTAGCATTCAGCCACAGGTTATGATACCATGCAGTGTGCTCATGGGGTAAAACCAGAGCTGTGAAGTGGATGCTCTTTTCCCCACCCTTTACAGATGAGGAAAATGCAGTTCAGAGAGGTACAGTGACTTACCCAAGGTCACACAACCAATACGTGGTAGAGCCAGGTCAAACCCAGGCATTCTGATTCCCGAAGCCCCACTGTCCACCTCAACCACTCTGCTCTGCTCCCTCATCCTGACCGTTGTGAACAGTGGCTGCGTGGGGCTGGGGCTGGGGCTGGGGCTGGGGCTGGGGCCGAGCAGGTATCAGTGCCTGGGCCAGATCTGTCTTGAGCTGTGGGAGGTTGTTTTCAAATGCTTTCTCTTGCCAAACCCCTCATATGCACATAGGAAGAAAATTACATTAATTTAGACGACCCAGCAGGAAGGTTTTGAGTAAACAAAGATTTTAAGAGAAATAAGCCCAAACCAGTTATCAGCTTGCACGCTCTCCCCTGGTCGCTCAGTTCCTCCTCTCCCCTCACCCCTTCACCACGTGGCATCAGGATGCTTATCGGGCTAAATGTAAATTCGTACCATGGTGAGCAGGCAGTCATATCATTCATTTACTCATCCATCCATCCATCCATTCATTTGTTCTAAAAACATTTCTTAATCTCTCCTCTGCCCAGTATGGGGAGTGGAAGAAAAGATACTGCCTGTTAGAACTCATTCATCGAAATAATCATCACAGGCACATCTAATGGGCTGTGCCTTTGTGTTTAGGTCCTGGGCACACAGTGGTGAACAAGGTCCAGCTCTCCCACTTCCTGGCTGGATGACCTTGGGCAAGTTACCCAAACCTTTCCAGACCTCAGTTTCCACTTCTGGAAAATGGGGTGAGGGGAAATAATAGCATATCTCCCAAAGGGTTGACGTGAGGCTAAACTAAGGTAATCTATGCAAAGCCCTCCAAAGAGTGCCTGGCACATTACAAGTGGTCTGTAAATGTGAGCGGCCGTTACTTTTTCCTGCCTTTCCTAGGGGGCATAGGGTGTGGAGTGACACTGTAGGAGCTGGGGAAGGCTTTATCTAGGCGGTGACATCTGAGCTATTCCTGAAGGATAAATTAGGGTGCAGTCATGGGAGGAGGTCTCCTAGGCTGTGGGAACAGCGGATGTAAAGGCAAGGATGTGAAGGAGCATAGCATTTAGGGAAAGGAAGTGGTCAGTGAAGCAATATGTCAAGTGGGGGGGGGGGCAGGGGGAGAAGAGGCTGGAAAGGAAGCCTGGGCCAGGGCTTGAAGGGCCTCGAATGCCATGTATGAAGTTCAAACTTCATCCTGGAGACCATGGAGAATCACTTCAACTTTTTAAGTAGAGGCATGATGTCATCAGATATGTGTTTCTGTGTTTTAGAAAGATTACTCTAGCAGCCCGTGTGGGACATGACTGGAGCAAAAAAATTCCTTCCCTTGGGGGCGTGGGTCTCTTTTTTTATTTCTCCTTCCTTCCTTCCCCTCCTCCCTCCTTCCCTCCCTCCTTCCTTCAGCAAATATTTATTGAACACCCACGATGTGTGAAGTAGTGTGCCAGGCGCTGTGAATCCAGCTCTGCGGGAGACAGACAGCATCTCTGAGCCCACATTCTACTGGGAGAGACCGGAAGAGCAGGCAGGGAACTAGTTTAGGGGTGGGGGCAGGGCCAGGGTGCGAGGAGTTGGAGGCTGACCAGGAGGGCAGGGTTGAGGGTGCCTGGAGGGAGGAAAGTACCGGATTGGGTCACTGGTAGAACGTTCAGGTGATAGGAGGAAAGACGGGCCGCGACGCCGCGCACCAGTCCCGCTGGTCTCCGAGAGCGAGCTTGGCCCTGGGAACCTGTTAGAGAGGAAATTCCCAGGCCCCGCCCCAGACCTATTGACTCAAAAGCTCCGGGGCGGGGCCCGGGGGGGGGGTGGTCTCTGTTTTCACAAGCCCTCCAGGTGACACCCCTCAAGTCCGAGAAGCACTAATAGGAACAAGGAGCACAGAGGGGGGTTGCTCTTTAGCGGCAGGTGTGTGTTGGGGGTGGGAGGCAGCGAATTCCATTTTGGGTCTGATGAGTCTGAGGCGCCTGTGGGACGTTTCCAGGGAAAGTGTCTAGGCAAGTCTAGGGTTCAAGCAAGATCCGAGCTACAGATAAAGCGAGAGGGGACAGTGGCCTCGATGAGGCAGTGGAAGCCTTGAGTGGCTGAGGCGTCCCAGACAGAGGCGGCGAAGAGGAGAGCCCGGAGTCCGCCGGAGGAAGGGCCGGGGGCGGAGATGGCGGTGTCACCTTAGCCACGGAGAGGGGCTGCGCCTCCTAGAGGCGGGAGAGGGAACTGGCTGAAGATACAGGAGAGGCAGGCGGAGCAGCTGGCACCTGTGGTGCCTCGGAATGACCTGTGTCCCCATCAGGGTGAAGGTGGAGGTGAGGCTTTTCCGGGAAAGAGGGGTCAATGGGAGAAGAAGAAGCTTGAGGGGAGAAGGGCCTGGAGGGACAATAGGATTCAAAGGGGCTAGTGGCTGTTTCCTACCCTGGGAGAAAGGAAGCGTTGAGCCCAGAAGGCTGCCCTTTTAAGACCTGCTGCTGGGCCACATTCTGGGACTGCCTCTGAGAAAGTAAGTGCCTTGTGCATGGAATGCCAGGTAACCAGGCCACCGACAGCCTCAGCTGGAGGCAGGCCTCGGGGAAAGGTGGGGCGAAGACAGAGGGCTTCTGTCCTCACCTGTCGCCTGGCAGGCAGAGGTCCAGATCTACTACCCTGCAGCCCACTGGGGAGCTGCAGAATGGACACAGCTTCTGGGCCCCAGGACAGACAAGGCTGATCCCTAAGATGGGGCAGGAAGTAGGAGGTAGAGGCCAGCAGCTGGGCCCCTTCCAGATGTGGGCCAGTAAGTCTAGGGCCAATTCCAGGAGTATCTAGCAGTTAGACTCCAAGGTAGGACCAGGAGAGCTGGCTCAAGGGCAAGTGTTCCAAGGGCAGAATGGCATGGCAGAAGGAGTGCACTGAATTTGGAGTCTGACCAACTTGGGTCTAAATCCAGACTCGATCACTCACTTTCGGGGGGCTTGAACAAGCCACTTCACATGCCCTGACCTTCCAGTTTCTCAACTATAAAACAGGAATATTAAAACAATTTCCTATGGTTGTTCAGAGGCTTACATGAGATCATGCAGCCTTAACACAATGCTTAGCACATAGCGAGTTCTCAGAAAACAGTAGTTAGTATGTTCTTAGTAGCCAGCCTGTACTCCTATATTAACCTGACAGATTTCCATTTGCAAAGCCCTTTCTCCTCTGTTATCTTCATAATGTCTCTGTGAGAGTGGGACAGGGGTCCCCTTTTTAAAAAATTTCTTAAGACTTTATTTTTTGAGAGCAGTTTTCAGTTCGCAGCAAAATTGAGAGGAATGTACAGAGATTTCTTGTAGACCCCCTGCCCTGGCACACATACAGCCCCCACCACCAACCTGTTATCAACACCCCTACCAGGATGGGACATTTGTTACCACTGATGAACACAGACTGCAGGGGTCCCTTTATGTAGGTGAATCCATGAGGCCCCGAGAGCGGAAGTGGTTCCATCCGGGTCGCGTGGCTGGAACGTGGCAGGGCCAGGACCAGAACCTGGATGTCTCGACTCCTTTGTTAGTGCTTCCAGGGGGCAATACCGCGTCTTGTTCACCACAGTGTCCCTAATGCCAGGCACTCAGTAAATGTTTGTTAAATGAGTGGGTAAGTGTGTAAGCACGTGTGTGAGCGAGTGAGCGAGGGATGAACAAGAGCAGACTGGACTGAACGATGCCTTCAGCTCTCTGCTTCTGAGAGAAGAAGCACTATTCAACCTTGTGGCCGTGAGAGCTGCATGGCCACGTGCGCCAGCCATCCTGAGGGCCCGCCCACCTGAGACCTGGCCCTCTGAGCACTATTGTTTCCCCAGGAGAACAGTCTCAAGTCCGGGAAGGGGGCAGCTGCCATGATCCCAGGCCCACAGACGGTGGCCACGGAAATCCGTTCTCTTTCTCCGGTAAGTGGGCAGGGCCAACCCAGGCTAGCGGACTCCAGGCAGAGAATGTGGACGCGGGTCCACAGGTGGCCTGCAGCAAGTACGGCGTAGAGCGTGGGAGGCTGCCCCTTTAAGTGCAGCACCAGGAAACGGCATCACATTCAGACGCCCACAGGGCTCCCTGGTCCCCACTAGAGTCTCATCCGTTGGTGGTGCCTGTGATGTGCCAGCTGCTTTGCATCTGCTCTCCTTACTGACCAGGAGGAGCAATGGACGAGGGCTCCAGAAGCTTGGACTCTGGACCCAGCTCTGTTGGTGGCTGCCTCAGTCGCCCACATCTGTCGCCGTGAGGTCTCTTGCAGCTCCTGTGTTCTCCAGATCTGTTGTTTTCATCATTTAGTCCCAGAGAGAGCACGTTCCCAGCCCTGACAGGGTGGGGGATTGGGGGGGCTCTGTGTCCACCTTGGATCCCTCTGTTCATTCTTGTAAGATGCCAGGATTCTTAAATTCTAGGGTCTTGTTAGGATTCTGGACCTCAGGAATCTCAGGTCCTAGGAATCTTAGATTCCAAGGTTTGAGGCTATCATGGGTCTAGCATTCTGAAGATTCCAGTATTCCTGAGTTCTTAGACTCAGTGGCTCAAAGCATCTTGGCTTCCAAACTTCACCTTCATGGGACCCCCCCACACCCCGACTCCTCCCTTGGTTTACCCCACCCCCGCCCCCGTCCTGCAGAGTCCAGTGTCCTCACCTGAGCCCTGGGTGGGGGGTGGTTATATTCTGCAGATCATCGGGAAAGATGTCCTCACCAGCACCTACGGCGCCACCGCGGAAACCCTCTCCACTTCCACCACCACCCATGTTACCAAAGTGAGTAGCAGCAGGATGTCGTGTGCCCCCAGCCTGGCTGTGGGGCTCGGGAAGGTCATTGCCATGGCTCTGCCTTGTAACGTGGACAGAGAAGACCTGCGGTGTTCCCAGTTTCTGGGAGCTTTGTTCTGTGATAAGGGTTGTCCTAGGTGCCGACCTGCCCTTCAGCGTTGACAGCCAGGCTGGGGGGATGAGACCATCTCCTTGGAAGAAATTGTGAACCGTGGCGTTTGCGCCTTATAGATCCTAAGTGCTAGAGGGATTTAGAGGGGGGTGATTGAAGGAAGGCTCAAAGAATGAGGAAGGGTCTTCTGGAAAAAATGGGGTTTGTATAGGGTCTTGGAAAGCCAGGGCGGACTCATGAGGGAGGATGCAGACGTTCTAAGCCACGGGGAAGATGGGAACAGAAACCGTGTGTTTACTTATTCATTCACTGAGCAAATGTTAGTGAGCATCAACCTCACGCTGGCCTCTGGGCTGAGGGCTGCTGGAGGGGCTGCAAGCAATGCACGTGGGGAAACAGGAGAAGTGGTCTCTGTCAGGAAGAAGCAGCACCTAGGGGACGTAACTGGGAAATTAGGTTGGACTGGAGGTAGGGGAAGCAGAATAGAGACAAAAGACAGATCCCAGGACAAATGTGATAACAGAGGGTCTGAGTCTGAGAGCCATTGGAAAGCCATCAAGGTTTTCAAGATGGAGAGTGACCCAGTGAAAAGGGGTTTAAGGAGAGGAGATTAGGTCCACCAGGATGTGCAGGCAGATGGGAGAAAGAAGAGAGAGAGAGTCTCTCCATAGAGAGGCTAGGGATGGAGGGCCTGGTGCAGGGTGCGGGGAGGAAGAGGCGGGGCCAAAGAAGGGAGACATTCCTGGTGAGACAGCCATGACTTAGCCCGTGAGGACAGAGGGCTGAGGACAGGCTGGCCGGCATGTCCATGCCTGAGTGGCCAGGGCCCAGGCAGGGATGGAGGCCTGGAGGAGAGAGGCCAGAGAGCCAGGATGAGTTGGAGGTTTTGCTCAAGCACCAAAGGAGGAGTCTGGTAGGCAGCACTGGCCCTTGAGGAGCACAGACTGTCCCAGCCCTGCCCACTCCCATGCAGCACGGTCCCCAGAAAGCACCCACTCCTACCAAAAGCATCAGTGAGCGATGATGACTTCACTGAAAGCTTTATGGGAAGGTGTTCCGTCACACACCCCACTGCATACAGCTCAGATAACTCTTCTTCCCAAAGTCCCTCCTAGCCCTGCCACCTGGGAGCCCCCCTCTTCTTTCTGTCCACTCCTGACCCCAGCTGGGGTTTCCCTTAGCCACCACCCGCCTTTAATATGCCAAGCAAGTAGGTCCTGCCCTATCTTCTACTTCTAAACTTGCGCCCGAACCCCAGCCCTTCGGAAAACAGTGGCGGTTTTAAGCATATGTATAAGCATCATCAATGCAGTTTTCTAGTATTGTTGGAAGTCATTTAAAGTAGAACCTTGTCACCATTCACATTTCATTCATGTGTTCATTCGACAAATCCGCATTTAGCACCTGCCCTGGTCAGGTTGGACAGGGGAGTGGGGGAGGAGGGGATCCAGAGATGAACAAAACACAGCCCCTGCCCTCGTGAGCCCCAGCCCAGTGAGCAGGGCCAGGTCACACACACAACGTCAGTACAAGGCAGAGAGGCCCAGGACCGTGAGAGATACGAACGTGCCGCTCAGGGAGTACCGAGGCAGGACGGAGGAAGGACCGCTCACCAGGGTCAGGGTGACAGCATTTGAACCGGGCTTGGAAGAGCTAGAGGGGGCAGCTTGGTAGTTGGGGGAGTGGTGGCAGCCAGGCAAGATGTGCAGTCTGAAGTCCCAAAACCAGAAAAAGGAGAAAACCGAGGGAGCCAGGAGAGAAGGCGACTGCTGGTTCCAGCCTTGCCCTTGAGGGATGCTTTGGACCGGTCCCCTGTCGAGGCTGCTGCCCCAGCAGGACCCAAGGCTGACCTCACCTCCCTCTCCCTCTGCAGACTGTGAAAGGAGGATTTTCTGAGACGAGGATCGAGAAGCGGATCATCATCACCGGGGACGAAGATGTCGATCAAGACCAGGTATGGGGATGCAGAGCATGGTTCCCAGTGGCACTGCCCAGGCCCCAGGCGCCCCCATATTGGTTTACCCATGGACGGCTGCATCTGTGAGCAGAGATGTCCACTTCCTACTGACCCTGTCCAGAGGAGAAGCCCTCAAGGAAGGGGCACTGACTGGGAGTCAGAAGGAGCCAGAAGACCTGAGCTCTGGCCTCTCCCCTTAACTCCTGGTCCTCAGCTGTGTGCTGGAGGGGCCTGTTGGTCTCCGTGGCCTCTCCCGTATTCCATATGCTCTGACTCCTCACTTTGCGGTTCTTTTCCTCCAGGCCCTGGCTTTGGCCATCAAGGAGGCCAAACTGCAGCATCCTGACATGCTGGTAACCAAAGCTGTCGTATACAGAGAAACAGACCCATCCCCAGAGGAGAGGGACAAGAAGCCACAGGTGAGGCTCATGGGGTTCAGCAGCCACGAGATGGAGGAGAGAACAAGGTCCTCCGAGGGGCATTTCCATCTGAGGACCCACCAAGAGGCTTGGTCCCCAGCACAGCTCTGACCTCCCCAAGCTTCCTGGTTTGGGGCTCCAAGTGGAGAGGTAGCTCCCTCAGATATGACGAATCAGAGTGCAGAGGGGAAGGAAGGCTGGTTCCTTGGTTTCTTTGGGGTTTCAGGCTCCAGACCCAGAAAAGTAAATCCAGAAGTGGTCAGAACAGGGGAGAGAGGATTGACAGCGGGTACTAAGGTGGGACAGACAGAGACAAGTGTACCCTCACTGACCACTGCCTGTAGGCTGGAAGTCGGAAAAAGTCCTGCCAGGCCCAGGGCCACATTCCTGTCCCTGACTCTCTGTCTCCATCACCGGTCACTGGATGTTGCCAGGGAGGAATTTTTTTTTTTTTTAAATTGAAGTATAGTTGATTTACAATGTTGTGCCAATTTTATTTTATTTTTTAATTTTTTAAATTGACGTATAGTTGATGCCAAGGAGGAATATGATGGCCAGAGCCCTCGATCCCATCTGTCTTGCTAGATTGGAAACCCTTCTCAGGCCACCAGGGGCGAGAATCTTAGGGACCCCAATCCTTACTCTTTCCACTGAAGGGCTATCAGTGCCTTCGTGAATAAGAGGAATGAGATGAGGAATGAGAGAGGTCTTTTAGCAGATGAAATTCGGGGAAGGGTTCTGGCCCGTCTGGAAGTTTACTGAATTTGGTCAGACCGATAATAACAAAATCTCACAGACATTGAATTGAATGAAATAAGTCAAACACAAAAAGTACATACAATGTGAGTCTATTCATAGGAAGTTCAAAACCAGGCCAAACTAATCAGCAATGATCAAAGTCTGAATATCGGTTCCTTCTGGGATGTGGCATTGACAGGGAAGAGCCGCAAAGGGAACTTCTAGGGTGCTGGAAATATCAGCGTCTTGAACTGGGGGGGGTTGCATGGGTGTGTATGTATGTAAAAGTGGACCAAGCGCCACACTTAGATTTGTATACTTACTTCACACCGTATACCTCAATGAAAAATAAATGCATTTCAAAGTCCCCCACAAACAGCAGGTCTCCCTTTTGTCCTCTTCCCTGATGAAGAAACCCAGTGTTTTCTAGGAAGATACAGAATGTTTCTTTCTCATCCTTTGATTACCACCCGCTTCGTGTCAGAAGGAGAAGCACTGAACTTCCTGCAGTGACGGAAATGATTTTCTGTGCTGTGCAGTGTAGGGGCCACTAGCTGCACACAGCTGTTGAGCACATGAAACTGGCTAATCTGAAATGAGATGCACCTTGAGGGTAGAATAGGTGCCGGAAAAAGGAGTATAAAATAACTCAGTAATTTTTATATTGATTACATGTTAAATGATAATGTTTGGATATATTGGGTTAAGTAAAATACATTATTAAAATTAATCTCACCTGTTTCTTTTTACTCTTTTTCATGTAAATTAAAACATATGAATTTTAATTTAGAAATTAAAATTTTCTATATAGCTGGAAAATTTTAGAAAACCAGAAATACTAGAAAATTTAGAAAATACTGTCTAGAAAATCTATTATCTAAAAAATTTTAAATTCCGTCTGTGGCTTCATTTCTATTGGACAGCGCTGGTCTAGAAGATGTAAAAACTGATCACGGGCAGAGCCTGCCTCCCAGCCTTCCTCAGACTTTCAAATAAATTGTCACTCCTGTCCTGTCAGTTGCCCAGTTACTGTTGCTTCTGTCCCCCAGATCTCAGAGTGGTAGAGTGTAGGTCACTTGCCAAGCTGGTGCTGGGCTGGCAGTATCAGCTGGGGAACACAAATACTAGAAAACTATTGCCATAAAGTCTGACTTAGAAGTGCTGGGCCAGGACCTGGGAATCTTTATTTATACGTTGGTCCTCAGGAAGTCCATACGCAGCCAGGTGTAGGAGCCACTGATGCAAAGAGCTCTGTGCTGGGAATCAGGACCTGACTCCACTCCCAGCCATCCTGCTGACTTGGCTGTGTGGCCATTGGGGTCTCAGTTTCCTCATTTGCAAAAGGAAGAGATGGACAAGCCCCCTTCCAGTTATGCACAGTCCTCTGGCTGTGTGTTTGCTTTCCTAGCTTCTCGTATCTTCTCCATTCCCCGTCTCACTCCTCCTCGTCTTTCCTGGGGCATCCCAGCCAGCCCCCCAGGCTCCTGCCCGCCCGCGTTCCCTGGCCATTTGGAGCTCTCGTCCCAGCCTCCACGTCCTGCCCACCCCATGCAGTCTTTCACATCTGCCCACCTCACTGCTCCCTTTGCGGTCCTTCCTCCTCGCCCCTCTTTTAGTCCTTTCTTTGTTGCCATTGTCCCACGCATCACTACACACGCTCTCTCTCTCTTTTGGATCCTTCTGTAAAGGTCACCTTGCTATGTTGTCCTGGAGAAACAGAAGTTTCTCCCTTGCCTTTTCTGCCCACCTGCTTTCCCATTAGTTATCGCCAAGTAGGAACCACCTCTGACTTTTAATATAGTCAAACTCACTGATTCTGGGGGAAAGGTCTTCTCTGAATTAGAAAACTCTTTTTTAAAGTACTTGAAAAATGTTGGTTTGATGGATGGATGCATCTTGGCACCCGGGATGGTAGTCCTGACTCGAATCTCAGTCCTGACCGTTATTAGCTGAGCAGCTTTGAGCACGCTATTTAACCTTCTCGGCCTGTGTTGCCTCATCAGCCAAATGACAATGACATAGTAACAATTGCAGTAACTTATGGAGTCCTTACACTCTTCCAGGCACCTGGCTGTGCACTAGGCGCAGTACTGTCACCTGCTCATTCATTTTATAAAGAAGGGAACTGAAGCTCTGAGATGTTAGGCGATTTGCTCACAGATTTGGAGCTGGGAACACAAAGAATTGGTTAGAGAGTCAAACCTCATCTGTTAGACTCCAAAGCTGCCTTATGGCCTTAATCTCCTGACCACGCTGACTGTTCACAGTATCTATCTCATAGGGTTACTGAGGTCATACATCTACAGTAGTAAGCACCGTGCCTGGCACATAGTAAGTGCTCGATAAGAGTTAATTATGACCATGATTACTATTAACACAAAGTAAGCTAACAAAATGCTGCCCGTTTGGACTCTGCTGTAATAAGCAGAAAAATACATGATCATACAGTATTGTTTAGATGTCCCCGGTCCTTCTGAAGTGTCTGTGGGCTTTAGAAGATATCCCACAAACCCAGAATCATGTGTACACTGAGTTTTGGGCAGGTACTTTATTAATCGATGAGGAAACTTAAGGTGAAGCCGGCACTGTAGGAAAAAATCCTCAGAAAGTAGCAGAATGGAGTAGCAAGAACACACCCAGCTTTGGACTCAGAAAGTGTGCCCAGAGGAACCTGCCTGGGCCTCAGTTTTCTAACCTACAAAATGGAGTTAATCTATAAACTGGAGCTGCTGTAATAATTAAACAACATCTATGAGTGTCAGAGTCCTCTCAGGCTGTTATAACAGAACACCGTAGACTGGGTGGCTTAAACAACACACACTTAATATCTCACAGTTATGGGGGCTGGGAAGTCCAAGGTCAAGGCGCGGCCAGTCTGGTTCCTGGTGAGACCCTCTTCTGGTTTGCAGACAGCCATCCTCACGTGGTGGAGAGCAGAGAGAGAAGTTATCTGTCTCACGTCTCTTTTTATAAGGGCACTCATCCTATTTATGAGTGCCTTCTAAAGGCCCCGCTTCCATATACCATCACCTTGAGGGTTAGGGCTTCAACATGTGAATTTCAGGGGGACATAAACATTCAGTCCATAGCAATGATGTACCAGGTGGTATCTCACATACAGAAGGTGCTCGGCGATGTGAAGCTGCTTCCTTGTCCCAATAGTTTTGTCATGTTGAGGGGTTGATGAGAGCCCTGAGCAAGTCAGACCCTAAACTTCTATCACCAGCCTGGTGCACGAGGCCCTGTTTCCACGTGGGCATCCATCTTGCCAGTCATCTTCTCTCCCCTCCCTGAATCCTCCAGGAACACCTGTCCCTGCTCCAGTAGATTTCTTTATGAAGTTCTTCCTCCTTGAAGTTCTTGCTGTGAGTGTGAAATCACGCCCATCTTAGAGTCTTCTCTCCCTGCAACTCACAGGCCAGATGTGTGGCTTCTGCTCCATCTTTGTTCACTGGCCCGTCTCCTCCACGCAAGACCTGTCTTCCAAACATTGCCAGCAAGAGGGCAGCATCCAGCCAGCTTCCCAGAGCTTTCTTACTTTCAAATTTTTAATTAAATGGGGGTGGGGATGACCTATTCCAAAGCAGGAGCCTAGGGTTCTCGTCTTGTTTCTGCCACCAACTTGCTAAATCATTGAACCCTCTGGGCTTCAGTCTTCCCATTTGTCAAATGAGCTGAGAAGGATCAAATTTCTACAACTCTGTTAGCACCTGACCATATGTAAGTGGCAAAGGGCAGGGACAACATGCCACTTGTTAAATGGTTTGGGGTAGTTGCTGTGTGTCAGTCATGGTGTTGGGCCCTGGAAAGACAACAATAAGTAAAACACAGCCCTTGCCCTCAATGAGATCAAATGTGGTTAAGTTAACAACAATAGTAATAAGAACAGCCAGTATTTACTCAGCACTTACTATATGCTGAGCCTTGTCTTGAATCCTCCCTACAACTTCGTGAGGTGGGACCCATTTTACAGAGGGAGCAACTAAGGTCTAAAGAGGTTAGGAAACTTGCCCAAGATGACAGAGCTAGTAGACTGTGGAATGGGATTTGAAACTAGGATTGTCTGATTTCAGAGCCCATGCCCCTTAACCACTGAGTTTTGGAGTCAAACCTGAGTTGGAATCCAGACTCCAGTTTCTTTACTTAAACACTCCTCTGTGGGGTTTAACCCCCAGGACACAGCAGGCAGTGGCAAACAGAAGGGAAAGACAAAAAAAGAAGATCTGCAATCATGACTAAACATTTCTTAGAACTGAGAGCAGATAGAAAGACAAAAGGAAACAAGTATAATCTTAGCTTTCAGTGTTCAAGGAAACTTGGACAAATTTTCCAGCCAAAGTAAAAGATACCACCTGCCTGGAAACAACCCAGAAAACACGCATGGCCTTTGGAGGCAGAGAGTCAGACAGAGGTGGCTTCAGTTCTCAGCGGCAACTTTCTTACAAGCTGTGTGGCCTTGGACAAGTCACTCTGTCTTCCCTAGTCATAATAAATGGCACACGGTAAAGACAGGGAAGACAACCTCTTGCCATGTATTTAAAGATGAGTGACAAAAGTTACTAACTCTTCTTGTTCTCCTCCTTCCTTTGCATCTTCTCCCCGCAACACCTCTGGCTTCAGGAATCCTGACCTCTGTGAAGAGATGCTGGCGTTTCTGGTCCAACCCAAGCCAGAGAACCGTCAAGAAGGGGCCTTCATTCTGGATTCTCCAACTCAACACCGACGTCCCAGCTGCGACGTACTGTCCCTGACAAGAGACTGGGAAAGGAAAAGCATATATATATAGATATATATAGATATAGATATATATACAGGAAACATCACGTCCTTGCACTGCTGCCGGGGCTGGCCGAGCATTCGGCCGACAGCAACGGCCAACATCTGAACGCCTACATTTCCTTTGCAGACAAATTGAAGAATTGGTGGGATTGTTCAGGAAAAAACAATTATAACAACAATAATCCCTTGCTCCGCACCCCCCCACGCCCGCCGCCGCGCCTGTCCCAACCCCCCTTGAAGCCCGCGGAACAACCAAGACAAGCCAGACCACGCTGATTGTAGAAGTACAATGCGACCCGGGTTCTACATGTTCCATTCAGTGGTCGAGCATTCCATTTCCTCTTCTCCTGCGTCTGTTGCCCACTCAAATGCAAAGGAAAACACTTCTGCAGCCAAGCAAGAGAAGCTGCAGCAGCAAGACACGCCCCGTCAAACGATTTCCAAGAGAGAAAAGTCCCTGCTCGGAAAGGAGGAGGAGGAACACTAGATTCTTATTTTTTGGGTCTTGACACTGGGCTGCAAAATCCACCTTCCTTTCTTCCGCCTCCCCTCCCCGTCGACTGTCACACATCTTGTCAGTCATTTTCTGTCTGGGTTCCCTCCTCCCTCTTCCCCACCCCACCCCCGCCTCACCTTCTGTGTCCTGGTCCTGCTGAGGGCCACTGCAGATGACTCTCACTGGAAGCGAGAAAAAGCAAAGCAAAGCAAGAATGTGAAACCAGGCCGCAGGAGGTGAAGTAGACATTGTGTGTTATGGGTTCTCATTATGAAGGTGCAGCTCAGCTCGTAGATTCGTATGGATGTGCTTTTAAGTTATGTATATTACATATAACAGGAAACAAATATTAAAATAAACAGTGCTGGTAAGTATGAAGCTGACATTTTAAAATTATAATTATCTGACTGTGATTGATGTATCCCAAGGTTCCTAGATCTCACCGAACCGACCCTGCCAAGGAGACCCGGACTCTGGCTGTGGGTCGCTCACAGTAGGAGCCGACGGTTCAGTGTAGAAATACAGTGTGTGGTGTTTGTAATTGACTGATTGGTGGGGAGGGGCGAGGTCCCCAGGTGGAGAGGCAGGGATTTTGGCAAGAAGGAAGCAACACGGGTGTGGTTCAAGATGCCTTCTCCCCCTGGGCAGTAGCAACCGGGGGGCTGGTCTGTGCTCAGGCGTGGGGTCCAGAGTTAGGATTCTGCTGCACAGGTCTCCCGGCCCAGCGCCCCCGCCTCCCTAGGAGGCTCGCCTCCTTTCTCAATCTCTCTTTGTTTTGCCACGTCTTGCCTTTTCCTGACCGCATTGTGACAGCTGACTCCCATCCCGAGGGAGGTGACATACCCAGCTGCCGCGGAAGATGGTGGCTTCCACCTGGCTGTCTGAACATCCCCAGCCCAGTCTTTTCCTTTACCACTCCTGTATTCTGTCTGAATCATTCTCTGCTTCCTGGGCCAAAGCAGCCATGGTAGAGACTGAACACAGGGCAGGCCCTGCTAGGTCAACACCGCGCTCCCAACGGCTTCGCCTGCCCCAGAGTGAGCCGAGGAGGATCTACGTATAAGACCCTGGCTTTACAGACCTCGCCTTCAGTCGGCGTCTGCGCTCTGAGCCTGCGCCCTCGGAGTCCCAAAAATGGCCTTGAGCCCACAGAAGCCCTTGGAGAAGACCCCCATCAAAAGCTTGGCATTGCGCTCTGGCACACGCGGGCCTTCCCAGGCTTCCTTGACACAAGATGCTTCCCTGAGCTTAATGAGGCCCCTTCTGAGGGAGTTTTTCCACACTGCCCTTCACTTTCTCAGTCCCATTTCATTTCCCCCATCCTGCTTCTAAAGCACGCGGCAAATTCACTCAACAAATATTTATTGAGTACTTACTTGTGTCAGGCACTATCATTAGGCTCAAGGAGAAAGCGTGGGGGGGAGCAGAGGGACCTGGGAAGAGCCCTGAGCCAGGCTTACATCTCTAACCGCTCTGAGAACATTTCCGAATTCTCTCCAATTATCAGACATTGCCTAGGGATGTCCCAGAGAGGGGCTTGGCTTGCTTATTAGTTACCCCGGTGACACATATGCTTAGCTGCTTAACTGGTGCTGACCTGAGGCAGGACAAGAAACCGGAACGGTGTTTGCCTCTGTGGGCAAAAATGGGATGGAGAGAGGGCAGAGAGAGCCCTGCACCTGGGGCCCAGGTGACACAGTCAGCCACATCCCCTCTGGGGCAGGCTGGTGGCCCACTCCAACTCCCCCTGAGAGCGAAGGCACACTTTGAATGCACCAGGTTCTTTTTACAGTCCTGGGAGAGAAGCCACAGAACCTCGTTCCTGTCCTCCTCAGCCTGAGAGCCCCCAGCGTTTCTGGGCCAAGAGCTGGAGTGGCTCCGCCCTCTCCGGGCCACCTGGAATTGGACTCAGGCCTCCCTGTCTTTGCAGGAACCAGGTGTCCCGAGAGCACTGGACATACCTCAGAGAGAGAATATTTGTTCTGGGTTCTGTGCCTGCCTACAGACCCTAAGGGTGTGGCTTTAGGGCAGGGAAGATGTGACCAGGCTTATTAGCTTGTGGGCCAGCCAGGGTTTGTGGCGCTCTCCATCCCACAGATGTTCTGACCTTCCGCCGAGAGGCAGGCAGTGCCAGCAGGGAGGAGGGGAGCTGCAAAGCTGAAATCTAGGGCACTGTTTCCTCCCCATCCTCCTCTTCATAGGGAATATAGACGTTTGTCTTGTCTGTCTTCAACCTACTTTTCCTTTTTACATTTCGCATCCTTTCTGTGCCACCTCTCCACCCAGGAGACCATGTAGCATGGTGGAAAAAGTCCTGGAGGGCAGTCAGGAGTTCTGGGTGGCCATCCTGGCTCAACCCCTAACTCACCACGTGCCACTGAGCTAGTCCCATTCCCGCTTCGGGGCCTCAGTTTCCTCACGTGCAAAACGAAGAGGATAAAGCAGAGGCTCTCCGTGCCCTTTTGCCACTCTGCCAGCCTACAGATCTTTGTTTTCCCTTCTTTTGCTTTCTTGGGATCTTTTCCATCTGAGGGTATAGGAAGTGCCAAGACCTGTTTCAGTTTTTGAATCCTGCAAGCACATTCCAAGACTGGCCTGAAATTGCATGAACAACATCACTCTAAATATATACTTTTTTTTTTTTTTCCAAAAGCACCTTCCCAACCAACTGCGATGCTGTCCTGGTCCTTTTTACTCGCACCCTTCTCTCCTCTCTTGTCCCCGCGCTCCCCCACCTCAGTGCTCCGTGCTGTATGCGTGTGCTCTCTGTTCTTGTATACTCAATAAAAGTGAAATAAATGTGTTTGATGCTGAACCACAAACTGCCTTGGCATCTCTCTCTCTGTCTCTGACCTAGGCTACCAGCACAAGTTGGCATCGTGGGAAGGGCTAAAACTGGGTGCAGAGATCCCAACTGGGACACTTTTATTCAACCTACAACACTTTCATTCAAATATTTGCAGATCCCAACGTGGTCCAGGTCTTGGCTTTGGCTTTACACGTACAACAACAAATAAGACAAAGCCCCTGACCTCCAGGAGCTCACAGGCTAGTGGAGGAAACTGGTAACAAAACAGGTGAGCACTCAGAGATGATTCCAGAGTGATCAGCACCAGGAAGGAAGTGCATCAGGGAAGGGGATTGTCACTGAAGGAGCCCACTTTAAATAAGGGCCAGTTATGGCCTCCCTGAGGACATGATTTTTGAGCTGAATGAAGAGAAAGATCGAGTAAGGTGAAGAACTTGGGTGAGAGCATTCTAGGCAGCAGGAAGAGTAGGCATGCGGACCCAGGACACAGAGGGGCTTGGTGTGTGGAGACACACTTGAAAGAAGAGCACCGCCATTGGGGTCTTTTCCCACATCCTCCTTCGTGGGAGCCGAGTGGATAATGTATACAGCAAATGTTGCCATAACCCCATACATGCTACCCGTCCCGACGTTGACATCATCTTTCTTTCAATTGACTCTCTGTAAAAAAAAAAGAAAAAAAATTTATTTAAAAAGGAAACTATATTACTTCCACAAATGAAAAACTGGTGTCACTTGGCAAAGGAAGGAGGTCTTCATAAGTAAATGCAAGAATATTAAAACTTAAAAACCATAATCCATGTGAAACCTAAATGTGTCCCTTGGGCTACCTGAGGTTCATGTACCAGCACTTTGCTTTCATTCTACCAGACAGCTCACCCCAAACCACCTTTCTTTACTACCCCAAATCTCACAAGCAAGAACCACTGCTAACTCTCTGGTCCATTTTCTTCCAGTCTTTTCTCATGTATATGTATTTTATCAGAGTTGAAGTCACCTTGTACATGCTGTTCTAAACACTTTTTTTGGTGGGAAGGCTGTGACGCAAGGCGTGCGGGATCTTAGTTCCCCAGCCAGGGATCGAGCCTGGGCCCCCTGCGGGGGAAGCCCGGAGTTCTAACCACTGGACCGCCAGGGAAGTCCCCCATTCTAAATACTTTTAAAGACTTAAATCCTGAGCATTTCCCTATAACTTCAAACACTAAATACTGTCTTTTCTTTTTAAAGGTAATTCATTAAATGCTACAAGATGCTATGCAGTGAAAAGCAATTCTTCAACTCTCTCCAGACTCCTGTCCATTGTCAGAGGCAATTGCTTCCAGGAGTTTTGTGAATCCTTCCCTGAATTTTCCCTGTAGGTTTCCTTTAGTTATCTGTCACACCTGGGGTCCTGAAATAGGACAAGGTTTGCAAACATTGGGTTCCCACCCACCCTGGATCTGTGTCTCTGTCTCCCATAAATACAGAGTCAGCCTCCAAGCTGCTTAGGAATAACCTGGCTGATTCATTTAGATCAGTGACTCTTAACTTGTGTGTGTGTGCGCGCATGCGCGTGACTTTGTCCCTCGAGGAACATTTAGCAATGTTTGGAGATATTTTTGGTTGTCATAACTGAGAGGTGCTACTAGCATACAGTGGGTAGAGACCAGGGATGCTGCTAAACATCCTACAACACACAGGACAGCAGCCCTACAACAAAGAATTATCTAGCCTGGGATCTCAATAGTACCAAGGTTGAGAAACCTGATCTGGGTGGACATGCAACCCACCAGCTGGGATTCCTGAGCTACCACCTATGGCTCCTGTGCCCAAAGTTCAGTGCCCTGGAGTCTCAGAAGATGGTGAGTCCTGCTAGAATAGGGAGCTCTGAAAACAGACCAAGGAGCTCAGCACCTAAGGCTGGAAATGGGGAGGGGTGGGGAGGGAGCTGAGCTTCTTCATGCAGGAAATGGAACTGACATGACAGACAGATTGACACGCATGACTGTGACTGATGGAGGCCATCTCTGGCTAATCCAGCAGCAGCTCGTTGTGATCAACCATGACTGCAGGGCCCAGTCTAGTCTGTAACCCACTAAGAGATGAATTTTGACTGAGACAGATTGGCATGCTTAGTAGGGTTAGTGCAAGGATTAGACATCATACACCAAGTGGCCTGCCCTATGGATCTTGCATTAACCTAGGCAGCCCTCACAATCATGTAAGCCAATTCCTTGTAATAAAGCTCTTATATACCTCCTGTTGGCTCTGCCTCTTTGGTTGAACCCTGACTGATACAACCACCCAGCACAGGGCTAGGCTCCAAAATAGAAGCCATTAATTAATAAAGAATTACTGTCATTAATTAAATGCATAATATATGTATTGAGCTGGGCCTTTGTGCCTGGCTTTGTGCTAGGTTCCAGGAAAACAGTGGAGAACAAGACAGGCAGGTTTCCTCCCTCAAGGTGCGTTTACAGCCTGACTGAGATATCGTAGTAGGCCTGCACTGTCGGAGGACACTGGGTGGTTATAGCTAGAGGGACCGACATGGTGACTACTGCTGTGAGACTGGTTCTCTCTGGGCTGGGTTTCTGAAGCTCTCCTCTACAGCTGAGTATGGTTGGAAGCTGGGACCGGGTGATAACGGGCCAGCTGTGACACTGTCACTCGGATAGAGATCGACTGAACCGAACCACGACTGAGCCTCTGTCTGTGGCTACTGGGCAGCCATGAACTTGACCCCAGCCTCAGAAACCATGACTGATTGAGACCGAAAAACCATGGCTGGTGGATGTGTTTCTGGAGCGGGATATAAAATGCATCGTTTGATGCAAGTTATTATCCACTGTTCAGAAGCTAAAACCGGTAACTAAAAGTAGCAAAAGGCAATATTTGATGGGGCGGAACCTGCAGAGGCGGACCGTTCCTCCCGCGACCGAGAGATCCGCCCGGCCCCTTTTCCCATTGCTCCAGTCCGGCGCCCGAGAGAGAGAACTTCCGGTGCGCTTCCGCGGTGCCTGAGCCTGAGGCAAGACCCAAGTCGGTGAGCGCGGCCTCCCGTCCTCTTTTAACTCCTCTGCTTTCTTTGTCTGTGTGGTCCAGCCACCCCTCTTCCCAGCTTGGGATCGCGGAGGGCCCTGCACTAGGGCACCTAGCGGGGACTGGGACATCCCCGTCTGTGGGCCGGTGGTGGGACCCACCTGTCTCTACAGGCCTTGCTCCCTGAGAAACCGTCACCAGATACACCGTCGCCAGGACTTCCTGGGGCACCCGCGGTAACTTGCTTTTTTTCGTAACTTTAGAACTTACGGGCCGGAGGCCGTGGCTCCGCCTGACGTGGTTCTGAGCTACTCTCTGTAACTTCGGCTAAGGTCTTTTCTCCGAACCGAGGCTTTGTTTCTTATCTACAAAATGGGTATCATGCTTTTATTAAACAAATGTTTACCAAGTGTCTAATATGTGCTAGAGATACAAAAGACCCACGTCTCCTGGAGATGACAGCCCTCTATTAACATTTGCAAAATTGCAGCTGTGATAAGTGACATGGAAAGATACGAGGCGCCGTGAGAGCGAATTACAGGAGAACTGACTTAGACCCGGTCAAAGAAGCTTTACTGAGGAGATGAATATTGAGCAGAGATCAGAAAAATGATTTGAGAAAGAGAGGAGGGAAGAGTTTTCTATCAGGGAAGCCTCCTGTTTGAGGGTCTGAAAGAGGTCAGTTTGGCTGCAACAGAGAGCGTGTGGGGGAAAGCATGGTATGACACAAGCTGGAGGAGTTGCCAGGGACCAGACCACGCAGACCTTCCTTGTAGGTCATGGTAGGAATTTAGTTTGCCAAGAGCCACGTGAGAAGCCTCTCAGAGGATATTAAATATGGGTGGTGACATGCTTAGATTAGTGCTTTGAGAAGGGCACTCCAGCTATTGGATGGAGAAGGGATTGAAGGGGCGATCACTCTCTGGGTGAGGGATATGGTAGTTTAGATTAAGGAGGTGGTAGAGAGAAGTGGGTGGATGTGACTTTGTGCCTCCCAAGGCATCTTCTTTGTGCCAGGCCATGTGCCAGCTGCTGAAGATATAGTGAGGAGAATTACAGTCTGGTGGAAATAGAAGGAAAGGAATGGCATTATCAAGGAGGGGCATACAGATGCCACCAGGGAAGATGGCTAATTGATGAGCAGTTATTCTAAATGCGATAGCTGTTCATCTAGCAAATATTTATTAAGTACCTTCTGAATTCAAGATTAGGAATAGGAAAATGATATAAATTATTCAGAGCAGTGGCTTTCAGACTTTTTTGATTGTGACCTACAGTAACAAATACATTTTATGTTGTGACCAAGAGTCCATTCAAACACACAAAGCTTCAGAAAACAGTACTTAGCTTTAATATTTATGATGTACTCTGATTTTTAAAAATTCTGTCCTTTTATTTTAAAAAATTAATGCTGGCTGAGATTCCCTAAAATGATCTCTTGACCCATTAACAGGTTGTGACTTGCAGTTTGGAAAAATAATGCTGATTTAGAGTGAGAGTCATTTGTGGTGGGTATTGGGTTAAGACAATAAAATATGTCCTTAACATTTTTGGAAAAGGGTTGCTCTTCCTTTCCTCATGGTTTTATTTTGTTTTGTTTGTTTAAATGAGTAAAAAGGATTAAACAGGCAGCTGGTCCTTCTGTTTGTGAAGTTTTGGGGCCTTGTTTGTATGTCTGGCTAGATTGGAAGTGCCTAGAGGGCAGTAACTGTCTTACTCTGTGAATGTTTCTGTTAGTGCCTGGCAAAGATCCTGGCACAGTGCAGGCATTCCAGGGTTATTTGTTGAATTGAATAGGTAGGTGTCTTGGGACTAAAGGGTTAGATAATTGTCCTGTTTAAATTAGTTCATGTTGGAACCATTCTTTTTTTTTTTAATTAATTAATTAATTAATTTGGCTGTGCCAGGTCTTTTTTTTATAACAACACCTTTTATTAATTAATTAATTAATTATTTTTTTTTTTTTTTTTGCTGTGTTGGGTCTTGGTTTCTGTGTGAGGGCTTTCTCTATTTGCGGCGAGCGGGGGCCACTCTTCATCGCGGTGCGCGGGCCTCTCACTATCGCGGCCTCTCTTGTTACAGAGCACAAGCTCCAGACGCGCAGGCTCAGTAGTTGTGGCTCACGGGCCTAGTTGCTCCACGGCATGTGGGATCCTCCCAGACCAGGGCCCGAACCCGTGTCCCCTGCATTAGCAGGCGGATTCTCAACCACTGCGCCACCAGGGAAGCCCTGGAACCATTCTTATAAATACAGAGGCAGTGTGTGTCTGCTTACAGAAGTTTTATCAGTGTGTTCTCATGGGTAGTTCAGAGGTAGACAAAATAAATGTTCTGTGGTCTTTCTCTTCGGATCCAAGGCCAGCTGTGCTTCCTGGATCCCTTCTGGGTGAGCAGTCCAGAGCTGCTACTGACTGTGAACCCTTTGGGAAGTCGTTTCACTCTCTGGACTTCAGGTTTTTTATAAGTAAGAGAAGAAGGGTGTGGTTGTGGTTGAAAAGCTCTTTCACTGCCCAAACCTTTTGTGAATTTTAGATACTGAGCACCCACTTTCCACCTTTGGTCCATTTCTGGGCCTTCCCTGAGGCTTATAGGAAACTGAGTGGGTGCTTCTCAACTCTTCTGGGGACTCTCCAGCAATAGGTTTTAGACAGAGTTAGAGTTTAAGACAGTTTAGGCAGAGTTATAGTTAGAATGGACCAGCCAAGCTTTCTCTGCCTTCATCCTCTGTTGTGAGAAGGAGATCTGAGAGTAGATCCTGAGTGAACAGTGGAAAGAACACTGGCCTGGAGGGCAGGGTACCCAGGTTCTAACTGGGTCCTCTGTGACCTTGAACATGTCACTTTTCTTTAACTGATGTCTTTCCAGCTGTGAAGTGAGTGTTCTTGCTCATTAAACCAAAACACAAAACCCCTCTTCTCTTTGAGTCTTATTTTCTTCATCTGTAAAACAATGCAGGGTTGTGGTGAAAATTAAGGGAGATAATTATGTCAGGGGTCTAGTTCAATATCTAGCACATAGAGAATGCTCAGCAAATGAAGCATGCTTCCCCAGGTTCTGATTAACTCTGATATATTTCTTTTTCAGCTGTTCTGGAAAACTAGAAAAGTTTTCTTTTTGGTCACTCACCACTGGTCCCATGGCTGCCATGCAGATGGATCCTGAGCTTGCCAAGCACCTCTTCTTTGAAGGGGCCACTGTGGTCATCCTGAATATGCCCGAGGGGACAGAGTTTGGCATTGACTACAACTCCTGGGAGGTGGGGCCCAAGTTCCGGGGTGTGAAGATGATCCCTCCAGGCATCCACTTCCTCCACTACAGCTCTGTGGACAAGGCCAATCCCAGGGAGGTGGGCCCCCGTATGGGCTTCTTCCTTAGCCTACAGCAGCGGGGGCTGACGGTCCTGCGCTGGGATGCAGTCCAGGAAGAGGTAGACCTGTCCCCAGCCCCAGAGGCTGTGGTGGAGGCCATGAGGGCCAACCTCCAGGAGCTGGACCAGTTCCTGGGACCTTACCCATATGCCACACTCAAGAAGTGGATCTCACTAACCAACTTCATCAGCGAGGCCACAGTGGAGAAGCTCCAGCCCGAGAGTCGGCAGATCTGTGCCTTCTCAGATGTGCTGCCTGTGCTCTCCATGAAGTACACCAAGGACCGGGTGGAGCAGAATCTACCCCGCTGCGGCACTGAGTGCAAAAGCTACCAGGAAGGCCTGGCCCGGCTGCCCGAGATGAAGCCCAGACCCGGCACAGAGATCCGGTTCTCCGAGCTGCCCACACAGATGTTCCCGGCAGGTGCCACGCCGGCCGAGATAACCAGGCACAGCATGGACCTGAGCTATGCTCTGGAGACCGTGCTCAGCAAGCAGTTCCCCCAAAGTCCCCAGGACGTGCTAGGTGAGGAGGAATGAGGCTTTGAGAGTGGGCCAGGGGAGGTGTATATAGTAGGAGGGCTTGAGAACAAGGAGTACATCTTGGGTTATCTAGTCCAGTGGTTCCTAAACCTGGCTAGGAGGCGGTCTTGCCCAGAATGCTTGTTAAAGATACAGATCCCCAGGTCTTACCGCTGGAGGCTGATTCAAGAGATCTGGATTGGGGCCCCAGCAATTTATCTCTCTGTCTACCTAACAGACAAGCACTGTAGGTGAACCTGATGCAGACAGTCCTGTGTTTGTGTACTGATGGTGTGGCCCAGCCTCCCTGCCACCGCGTCTTACAGATTGAGGTCCATAGAGGGAAAGGATTTGGCTGCTAAGTGGTGTAGTCGAAGTGAGACCAAAGCCTAGGGCTCCTGGTTCCCAGGCCCAGCCGTGTTCCTGGGGGCCTCCCACCTCCCCGCTCAGTTTGCTCCTGACTCTCTGAAGGCTTCATCCAGAACAGTGATTTTCTTTTTCTTTTTTTTTTAAAGGTCCAATTCTTTTTCTTTAAATTTTTAAGATTTTATTTTAAAAAAATTTTGGCTGCATCATGTCTTAGTTGTGGCACGTGGACTCTTTCATTGTGGTGTGTGGGCTTCTCTCTAGCTGTGGCACGCAGGCTGCAGAGTGTGTGGGCTCAGTAGTTGTGGTGCACGGGCTCTCCTCTAGTTGTGGGGCACGGCCTCCAGAGCACGTGGGCTAAGTAGTTGTGGCGCATGGGCTCAGTTGCCCCATGGCATGTGGGATCTTAGTTCCCCAACCAGGGATCGAACCCACGTGCCCTGCATTGGAAGGCGGATTCTTAACCACTGGACCACCAGGGAAGTCCCAGTGATTTTCTTTTAATTGTCATAGTTTTTATTGTTGTTTTTCCCCCTTATTACAAAAAAATAACATATATTCATCCTAGAAGAAAAACAAAAATAAAATTCCAAATCCCACCACCTAGAAATAACCATTGTTTTGCACTTTGTTGTACTTATTTTCCATCTTTTAGGTATATATTTATATGTATTTCTCAGTTTAATATATTTTTGTGTTTCCTTTTAGTCTTTTTTTATTCAATTATGTGTTTTTGTATATATAATATTTTTACAAAAACAAGACTACAGTATATTATTCTGTAATTTGCTTTAATGTAAACATTTTTCCATGTCACTGAAATGGTCACTTCTCTTTAGTGGCTACTTATGTTCCATAGTAATTGAACCAACCCCTGTTGATGGATCTTTAAGATGTCACTATTTTCCCTATTATAAGTGGCGTCTAATGAATGTCCTTGTGTGCCCTTCTGCATACATTTCGGGGTGAAATTGTTGGATCAGTGTGTGCATGTTGCCAGGAGAAGGTCATGCATCCTTGCCAGCTGGTGAGGCTGTTGCCCATCACCTTTGACATGGCATTTGATATGGCAGTTTAGCAAAGGTCTCTTCCAACTGGATAGTTGAAAAATGACATCTTGTTTCAATTTATATTTCTCCGATTACTAGTGACAGCAAACAGTTGTCACATGTTTAATAGTTGTTAATATTTTTTCTTGTATAAGTTGTCCAATATTTACATCTTTTTCTATTGGAAGATCAGTGAGAATTTTGAATATAGGGCCTTTTACATAATAGGCTTAGCTGATAAAAAGGGACATTTTGTGGGGTGTATCTATTTTCATTTAATAAGTAACACTTGAAATTCTGGCTTAAAAATAAACAGAAAAAAAAATGAACAGAAATCCTGTTTTCTACCTCTTAAACATTTCAGTTCTTCAAAGTAATCTTGTGAAAAGGTCTGTTTCAGGGATTACTGTATCTTCATGACAGTCCTTTGAAATTATTTCTGATCTCATAATTTAATTTTAGACTGAGCCAGAAATGTATGAATTTAAACAAATGCCCTAAATTCAGAGAATAAGCTCGTATTTTCACAAACTAACGAGGTAAAGCCAACTGAAGAAGCAAATCATTAACCTCTAGAAAAGGTTAAATTTTCTAACCTATAGAAAGTTTAACTATATTTTGAAAATATTGATCAAATGTTCAAAATATCTAGACTAGGTAGCTATCCACACAAATCAAACTTTGTTCCACAAGCCTAGGAACAGAGAACTAGTTTTTCCAGGTCTCTAGAGGTGACAGATCAGACACCATGCATTTAAAGAGGTATTAGTGTTGAGTACATCTGTTCTTTTTATGGCCCACACGTAGATATACCACAGAAGCCCTCCTTAAATTTGAAGCCAGAGAGAGCGTCTCTGATCAGCAACAGTTTATCTTGGCAACTAGAGACCCAGCTGCTTGCCCAAGGACAATGGCTTCTGGATTACCAGGTCTCTGTTTGAGACAGGGATCTGGTGGGAATGTGGGAATAATAACTAAGATTTCTTGAGTGATACTTTGTGCCAGGCATTATGCTAAATGCATTATGTATACTATATTGATTCATTTAATCTTCACTACAACCCTCAAATAAGGAAATTGAAGCATAAACAGATTAAGTAACGTGCCCAAAGTCACACAGCTGCTAAGTGGTTGGAGCTGAGATTTGAACCTATGCATTTTGGCTCCAGAGCCCATGCTCTTAACCACAGGCTGCTTATAGATATCAAATCACAGAGCCCTGTGATTAAACAAAGAAAAATAATTTGGCTGGCAGGCTAACCCTGGAACAAGTACTCATGAATTTTCTTGTTCAGGGAGGCTCTAGGACTGTTCCCACCCAATAGAAATCTGTTTTAGGGCTTCCCTGGTGGCGTAGTGGTTAAGAATCTGCCTGCCAATGCAGGGGACATGGGTTCAAGCCCTGGTCCGGGAAAATCCCACATGCCACGGAGCAACTAAGCCCGCGAGCCACAACTACTGAAGCCACACTACTGAAGCCCATGTGCCTAGAGCTGGTGCTCTGCAACAGGAGAAGCCACCACAATGAGAAGCCCACGCACCGCAACTAGAGAAAAGCCCGCGCACAGCAACGAAGACCCAATGCAGCCCAAAATAAATGAATAAAGTAAATAAATTTTAAAAAGAAATCTGTTTTATCTTTCCATTGTTCAGTAGCTAAGCATTAGATGTGTGACCTTGGGCAATTTGCTTGACCTCATCTATGAAATGAGGCAAATACCACCTTCCCTGATCACCTTGCGGAGTTGGGCTGAGGATTATGTGGTGTAATGCAGCATTTCCCTGACCCTGAAGCAGACCGTGTGCATCAGAAGCACCCGGGAAGCTTGTTAGAGCTACAGATACTGAGGCCCCATCATCTGTCCTCAACCAGGATCTCTGGTGGTGAGGCTTGGGCAGCTTTATTTTTAACAAGTTCTCTTAGTATTTCAGATGGGCAGCCAGTTTGGGGATCCACTTGGCATAATATCCATGGACACATTTGTAAACTTGTTAAATGCTAGGCAGATACTATGTGTGCCTCTTCTCTTGCACTCAGATATCACAGAAATCCAAAACCAGTTTGGTTTCTCATGGCTTGAGTTTATAGCAGTTCAGCAAACTTTTACTGAGCAGCTGCTAGGTGCAAAACCCTGTGCCGGGCTCTGGAAGAGTGACAAGGATAGAAAGCCACTTATTGCTGAGACCCAGTGGAACTGGCGGCTTAGTAGTGTCAGCCAGTACTCCTGTCCCTCAGGATCATTTCTCCTCTCTGCACCTTTCAGGTGAACTCCAGTTTGCCTTTGTATGCTTCCTGCTGGGGAACGTGTACGAGGCATTCGAGCACTGGAAGCAGCTCCTGAACCTTCTGTGCCGGTCAGAAGAGGCCATGGTGAAGCACCACACCCTTTATGTCAACCTCATCTCCATCCTGTACCACCAGCTTGGCGAGATCCCCGCCGACTTCTTTGTGGACATTGTCTCCCAGGACAACTTCCTCACCAGCACCTTACAGGTGAGCAGGCTTTTGGCTGACACCCAAGTGGGTCAGAATTAAGGCCAGGGTGTGTGAAAGTACCCTTGGAGGCTTACCTTTTTTTTTTGCTGTTCTTTCCTGAGCCAAGTTGTCTTCATTTCAGTTTCCTAATAGTAGGCTGTTCCCTGGTTCTCTCTCTCCTACTTGATTATAAGCTCCTTAATTCCAGAGACGCTCTCTCCTTCTCTCCGCCTCACCCCGCAAGGTGCCTAGCACTGGGGTACTTGGAATTTGAGTCAGCCCCACCCCTTGAGCAACTCGGCTCAAAACAGTTTTTATTTCTGCCTCCCTGTAGCTGTAAGTTGCTGCAAACCAGTAGGACAGAGTTTTGAAGCTAGTTATTCCCAGGGAAACATCTGCAGCTCCTTAGATCTCATTTAGGCATTAAAGTAACTTTGATTTCCTGTTCAAACAAAATGTGCCAGTTTCTTCAGAGATTCTCTGACAGAAAAAGTGAAATTTGCTTTTAACTCAGCAATTAAATTTTCATTATGAGTGATAATTAGGGAAGAAGCTTCAAACAACTTACAATCTCCATCCTGTGCTATTTCCTCCCTTTGCAAACAGATTAGCTTCCTTTATGTTCTTGGGACAGCCTCTGTCACTCACATTGTGTAACTTTCTCAAGTATAGAAGAGGCAGAAGCTGCAGGCTGTCAGTTTCCATACTTTCTGTTTCATGACTTTTTTTTCACTGTGTGTGAGACCCCCACAGGCCTGCTCCTTAAAAGGTGGCTATTCACTAACCTCTCACTCCCACCCATGGTAAGGGAAGGAATGAACAGTCATTAAATGCCTGTGGCATTTAATAGGCACCATGCTTATCTCTTTATATGGGTTCCCTCATTTAATCTCTCTGGAGCACGTGAGACAGGGAGGATTATTCCCATTTTACAAATGAGAACACTGAGACTCAAAAAGATTAAATCATTAATATAAGGTCACACAGCTGGTAGGTGGCAGAGTCAGGATTTGTACCCAGGCCTGAGTCTTGGTTTAAGGCCTATGCTTATGCCCCTACATACCGAATACAGTGTAGATCCCCCCCCCACCGAAAAGAGTCTTGATTGACATTAGTGGACATACCTATCAGGGGCCTGTTTCTCAGAGATACAGAATACTTTTCTAAAACCAGCATTCTGTTGGAAGAGTCCCTGTGATCAGGCAGCTGACATAAACCTCTGAAGTTGAAGGACTTGTGTGGACCATGGGGATGAGTCAGTCAGGCTGATGGTTTGAGCCTGGTGTATTCCACTTCATGGGAGTTATAAAACTGCCCTTTTATTGGTTCTTGATATCACAGAGAAATTAAATCCCTTTAGCCTTCCTCTGCAGGGGAAATCGCCCCAGTTACTGGGTCATGGGTTGCAGAGCAGTAGGAGGCAGCAGCCTGCTAACTGGCCTCTGGCAGCGGGAATATGTGCTGCCCTTGTGATATGCCCTAGTGCTGTCGTGCAAACATAGGAGGGCCGCAGTGTGTCGTTGGCTGTCCAACCATTGTCAGCATGACCAGCAGCTGAGCTCTCATTGCTGAGGCTTTGTTGCCAGCAATGATTTACAAAGCAGAAAGGGCCCAGCTGGATTGCTCGATGTCCAGGTAGGGTGTGCAAAGCTGATGATTAGAAGAATTTTGTCTTTGGACTTTTCACCAAGAAAATTTGATGTCATTATTTGGAAAAATCCAGGACATGTGCCTTAAAAAAAATATATCAACACCTGTTTTTTGTTTTTTGTTTTTTAAAGCACATTCTCTGCATTCAAAGACCTTATTCTTTTTTTGTTTTTTTTTAATTAATTTATTTATTTTTGCTGTGTTGGGTCTTCGTTTCTGTGCGAGGGCTTTCTCTAGTTGTGGCAAGTGGGGGCTACTCTTCATCGTGGTGCGCTGGCCTCTCACTATCGCGGCCTCTCTTGTTGGGGAGCACAGGCTCCAGATGCGCAGGCTTAATACTTGTGGCTCACAGGCTTAGTTGCTCCGTGGCATGTGGGATCCTCCCAGGCCAGGGCTCGGACCCGTGTCCCCTGCATTAGCAGGCAGATTCTCAGCCACTGCGCTACCAGGGAAGCCCCCTCAACACCTGTTTTTTAAGCATCCTTTCTTTATATACAACGTTCTTCTCAGAGTGTTGAGGAATATGTATATGAGTTAGCCTGTTTCTTAGAGGTACAGAGCACTTTTCTAAAACCAGCATACTGTTGGAAGAGTCCATGTGATCAGGCAGCTGACATAAAACTCTGAAAGTTGAAGGACTTGTGCAGAAGCATCTCTTCATTGATTTAGCAGGCGTTTGCTGTGCACCTGTTGTATACAAGGCCCTGTTCTAGGATGGGAAATGTAGCTCTGGGCAAGACAGACAGAGTCCCTGACTTGGAGTTTAGATTTTGGTGGGAAAGTAAACAAATGAATTAACCAGATAACTCCAGGTAGCCCTAAGTGTTTTAGAAGGCAGTACCATTTTCCTAACCTGGGCCTTTTGCTCTCATCTAGACTGCATCAGAGTTTATCAACTTCCATGTTTACCCCCATCAGTCCATCTGTCTCCCACACTGCCACCAAAATGCACCTCTGATTCTATTTCTCTGTGGTCCTCGTTGCCTAAAAAGTTAAAAGCCCAAACCTAGGTGATAATACCCATTCTGATCGGGCTCCTAATCTGTTCTCCAGCTTTTCCTTCCTTTCCCTATTTTCCACCATCAACTCCAGCAGCAGTGGTCTCCTTGCAAGTTGCCAGACATGCCATGCTGTTCCATGCCTTCCACTTTTTTTTTGAATTGTAAAGAATACGTAACATGAGATTTACCCTCTTAATTTTTTAAGTGTACAGTACAGTACTGTTAACTGTAAGCAGAGAGGATCTCTAGAACTTTTTCATCTGGCACGACTGAAACTTTGTACCCATGTTTCACGTCTTCTTAACTGAACCTGATTTTCCCTCCGCCTGTACTTGTTGATCCTACAGGATGCCCTCTAGGCATCCCTCTCTGTGGTGCCATCCCTGATATCTCCCTCCTTTCCATACTATTAGCCTACTTTGTACGTGTCACTATTATATTGCACAGGCTGTGCTTGTGAAATGTATATATTGTCTGCCTGACTTCCCCACTGAGCCATGGGCTTTTACCAGAAGCCTATTTTTTGTTCATCTGGTTATATTCAACACCTACTTGAGGCCTAGCACTGATCTCTCTTTGTGTTATTGGGTGTTTTTAGTGCATAATTCCTGTGGCAGTGTGAACAGATGACCCTGCTATGACAGGTGTAAACAGTGAAGTCTGGTCAAAGGGCATTAGGAGCACCAGAGAGGGGTTGCTTGGTTCATTCAGGCTGGAGTTGAGATTTGAGGAGACAGAGAGTCAGGAATGGCGTTTTTGTGAAGGGGGGCATTTGATCATGAGCTTGAAGGATGACACAGATTTCAATGGGCAAAATGCGGAAAGGGTATTTCAAAACTTTTCTCTTGTTTGATGGCAAGTTTCACTGATGCCATCTTGGCAGTGAGATCCTGTCACCCTACACACAGGCACTCACTCCGGGTGTTTGTGAGTGAATGAATCAGCCCATAAAAGCCTTCCTTAGCCAGCCGCCTGCTCTCCCCGCAGGTCATCAAGTAAGTGGAACTGGCTTTCTTACTTCAGAGTTTAAATGGCTGCTACACCTGGAGAGGGACTGGTGTTTGTGTGTGAGCTCTTAAAGACAGCCACATTAGCTTGTGTAAAATCAGCGACATAATGCCCTCTGCCAGTAGAGGCCCCTTTGAATAGATGCCACTGATTTTTACAAATCCCATGGATTAGCTTGAATAAAAATTGTTTGTTTTATAAAAATAGATACAGTTTTTTCTTTTATTTGAAGCAACTTGAGTCATCATAATTTGTTTAAAACCAATGAAAGGATAATCTGAATTTAATAGTATGTTATAAAGTGAATTATGTACAAAATAAGAATTCTTATTACTGATTGCATAGCATTTAGGCATATAGTCATGTAACCTGGTTTTTTTTAATACTTTTAGTCGCAATAGACCACTAAATAGGCTCTCCAGCTTCATTTCTTGCCAGTATTCGAAATACGAGTGTTCCACCTTTAACTCTCGAGGGAAAACACTAGCTCTGACAATGATGTCTGTAGTACCGGCATACCTTGGAGATATTGCGGGTTCGGTGCTGGGCTACCACAATAAAGTGAATATCACCAAAAGTGAGTCACATGAATTTTTTGGTTTCCCAGTGCATATAAAAGTCATGTTTACTCTATACATAGTCTATTAAGTGTGCAGTAGCATTATGTCTTAAAAGAAAATACCTTAGTGAAGCACTTTATTGCTAAAAAATGCTAACCGTCATCTGCGCCCTCAGTGAGTCGTAATCTTTTTTTTTTTTAACATCTTTATTGGAGTATCATTTCCTTACAATGGTGTGTTAGTTTCTGCTTTATAACAAAGTGAATCAGCTATACATATATATATATCCCCATATCTCCTCCCTCTTGCATCTCCCTCCCACCCTCCCTATCCCACCCCTCTAGGTGGTCACAAAGCACCAAGCTGATCTCCCTGTGCTATGTGGCTGCTTCCCACTAGCTATCTATGTTACATTTGGTAGTGTATATATGTCCATGCCACTCTCTCACTTCGTCCCAGCTTACCCTTCCCCCTCCCCGTGTCCTCAAGTCCATTCTCTATGTCTGCATCTTTATTCCTTTCCTGCCCCAAGGTTCTTCAGAACCTTTTTTTTTTTTTTTTTTAAGATTCCATATATATGTGTAGGCATACGGTATTTGCTTTTCTCTTTCTGACTTACTTCACTCTGTATGACAGACTCTGGGTCCATCCACCTCACTACAAATAACTCAATTTCGTTCCTTTTTATGGCTGAGTAGTATTCCATTGTGTATATGTGCCACATCTTCTTTATCCATTCATCTGTGGATGGACACTTAGGTTGCTTGCATGTCCTAGCTATTGTAAGTAGAGCTGCAAT